TTCTGTTGGGACTCTAAAGTAGTTAACTTTGGAAAAAGTCACAATTAAATCCATCTCCCAGTGCTTTTGTTCCTACCATGTCAGGGAGCAAGTCCCCCTGGTGTTCCCTAATCTGGCAGAAATGACTGGAAATTTTGGCCTGGCTTCAAGATCCCCAGGCCCAGTAGGGAGATTGACATGTTTCCAGCTAGTGCCCTGTTCACTGCTGGGCTAATGGGTTCTTTGCCAGGAGTTCCGTGGCTTCTTAGAAAATCAGGAGCTCAGAAAATGAGTGCATTGTTTAAAACTATGACCCTCCTCTTTTTCTACTTTATATGCTGGTATATTTTATTTTATTTTTTGCTTGTGTGAGTCATCCATGCAAGACAGGACCTGGCATCGAGCCTCTTTGAGAGACTAAGAAATATAGAATATATATTATGTTATGTGAGAGCAGATATTTAGTGTGGTGGGTGTACATGGAAGTCATATTACATGAAGATTAAGCAAATGGGCTCTGGAGGTGGGCAGACAAGTTATGTAACTGCTCTGTGCCTTGGTTTTTCCATCTGGACAAGGAGCACAATGAGAGCACGTAGCAGACTGGTGGCTTTGTGAATTCAATTAGACAACACACATGGAAAGACTAGAATAGGGCCTGGTCTATGGGTGCAGTCAGTAAATGACAGCTACTTTGCAAATGATTAAAATAAACACAGGAGGAGATATAGAAAGCAATTTCATTCTGATAGTCAACAGTCTAAATTCTTAAAATTGTTCCCTAGATGATCATTTTCTCTTAAGGAAACATATTTGCTTATGTTTCTGAGATCACATGCACACCTCAAAGAAATGTGTATTAAAAAAACAACACCAGACTTCCAGTCAAAGACGGCGGCATAGGCAGACATAGCTCTCCTGTTCGCACAACCACATCAAAATTACAACTAAAATATAGAACAACCATCACTCAGAACCGTCAAAAACCGAGTTGAATATAAGTTTGACAACAACGGAATTAAAGAAACCACATCTATCCAGACTGGTAGGAGGGGCACAGATGCAAAATGGGCTGTTCCCTTACCCACGTGTGGTGGATAAAAATTCGGAAGGGATATCTTGGGAGGGAGGAGTCCCAGCCCCACACGAGGCCCCCAGCCCAGGGTTCCATGCCAGAAAGATAAGTCCCCACAGTCTCTGGCTGCAAAAGCCAGCAGGGATTGAGTTAGTGGAAGAAACTTCTGCAGCCCTAAGCAGTATCTCTTAAAGAACCCAAACATGGACTCACCTACTCAGACTCACTCCCTCTAAGCTCCAGCACTAGGATAGCTGCTTGAAAGGCACGAGTGACATACTGGGAAAAACTGAATTGTCTTGCATCAAGGTGAACAGAGGTCATTATCCCTTTTCTAAATCCTCCCCTCGCAGAACCACAGAACTGGCAAGCTGGTGCCATAGCTAATACTCCATCAACCTAGCTAACACTGTTTGGCCTGCCTTGGAGGTCCCCAGAGACTCTGGCCCACCCAATTTACCAAGCTGCTTTTCCTTATGAATGGCTGGTCTTGGCTCATGTTGCACAGCTTCCTAAATCTTGTCAAACATGCAACGGCCAGGCCTCAGTGAGCCCCAGACCCAGCACTAGTAGCAGCCAGCCAAGATTCACAGCTTGGCGTCACCCAGAAATCTCCAAGACCAGCACAAGTAGCCACCATCTCAGATTGCTTATAACTCAGGCAGGGTGGCCACAGATAAAACACAGGCGGGGGATGATCTTGGCCTGCACCACCTGGAAAACCTGAGGACCAGCACACCCAGTGGACAGCTACAGACCAAGTCAGAGCACCACCACGCTGCCTCCACACAGCTGATCCTCCTTGGATGGCAGAGGTTGGTGGTAGGAGTTCACAGCCAATCCTTGCAGCTGACTGGCCTGGGTAAATCCCTCCCATTAATCTACCAACAGCAACCAAGGCTCAACTACAAGAGAAGGCATATTCAGCCCAAACAAAGGACACACCTTGAATACCTGGCTTGGGTGATAGGGGAGGCTGTGCCACTGGACCCCCCAGGATACCTGCTACATTAGGATACACTACCAAGACATGGAACCAAAGCAGCTATACCTAATATATAGAAACAGACACAGGGAGGCTGCTAAAACAAGGAGACAAAGAAACATGGCCCAAATGAAAGAACAGATCAAAACTCCCGAAAAAGAGCTAAACAAAATGGAGATGAGCAGTCCATCAGATGCAGAGTTCAAACACTGGCTACAAGGATGCTCAAGGAAGTTAGTGATGACCTCAGCAGCATAAAAAAGATTAAGTCAGAAGCAAAGTATACACTAATTGAAATAAAGAACAATTTACAGGGAAACAACCATAGAGTGGATGAAGCTGAGAATCAAATCAATGATTTGGAATATAAGGAAGAAAAAAACAACCAAACAGAAACTCAAGAAGAAAAAAGAATTAAAAAAAATGAGGATAGTATTAGCAGCCTCTGGGACAATTTCAAGAGGTCCAACATTTGCATCATAGGGGTGCAAGAAGGAGAAGAGAAAGAACAAGAAATTGGAAATCTATTTGAAAAAATAATGAAGGAAAACTTCCCTAATTTGGGGAAGGAAATAGACATGCAAGTCCAGGAAGAACAGAGAGTCCTAAACAAGATGGATGCAAAGAGGCCCACTCTAAGACACATCATGATTAAAATGCCGAAGTTAAAGATAAAGAATCTTAAAAGCAACAAGAGAAAAGTAATTAGTTACCTACAGCAGGGTCCTCATAAGACCATCAACTGATTTCTCAAAAGAAACTTTGCAGGCTAGAAGGGATTGGCAAGAAATATTTAAAGTCATGAAAAGCAGAGACTTACAGCCAATATTGCTCTACCCAGCAAAGCTATCATTTAGAGTTGAGGGTCAGATAGAGAGCTTCCTAGACAAGAAAAAACTAAAAGAGTTCATCATCACCAAACCATTATTATATGAAAAGTTAAAGGGACTTATTTAAGAAAAGGAAGAAGATCAAAACTACGAACAATAAAATGGCAAAAAATATATATATTTCAACAATTGAATCTAAAAAAACAAACTAAGCAAACAAGAACAGAGACAGATTCATGGTAAGGAGAACGTTTCGTTGGTTGCCAGATGGGAGGGGGATGGGGGAAATGGGTGAAGAGGTGAGAGGATTAAGAAGTACAAATAGGTAGAGAATAGCCATGGGGATGTCAAATATAGTACAGAAAATGGGGTAGCCAAAGAACTTATATGCATGCCCCGTGGCCAAGAACAATGGTGGGGGGTACAACCTGAGGGAATAGGGGTGCTGGGTGGAGGGGGGAAAATCAGCATAACTTTAATAACATAATCAATAAAATATAATTTAAAAATATAAAATAAAATAAAAAAACATCTATTAGTGCCTCCCTAAAGTAACCTGTGATTGGAATATTTGTACATGTTTGTTGAGAGGTAAGCAACCTCCTTTTAAACATCATCTCTCTCCTTCCAGTAATTTACTAACACAACATTCTAAAAGCATTAAGTGCACACTCTAACTCATGGCACAGTGGCTAAAAAAAATCTGCACGTTCTCTTTTCAAGACTTGTAGGGGAAACCTCTGGCCTGTTTCCTCGAATAGTAAAAATTTCTGTGCCTAGAATCTCACAAGAAACCTCAGATATGCCCTAGCAGAAGAAAAAGCTCCTCAAACTACAAGCATACAGGAAGATTATTTACTGTTGATAGGAATAGATTCATTGGATAAGTCAAATGCCCAATATTTAACCACAGACTGATTATTAAATTGATGACTAAGTGTGGTATAAAAAACACTTTTATGAGAAAGAAAGTTAATGTTGAATAATTTAACCTGGAGGAAAAATATGATTTGCCTAAAGTATCGAGAATTTTATAAAACTAAACTATCAGACTGTCATATTAAAAAGGAAAAAGAAATAAAAGATAAAGATATCACCACCAACACAAACATCAAGTTTAAATGTAAGGAAGGTAATTAGAAATTCAAATTAGGTAGAATCTCTCTGTTCTTAATTGGACCATTGAAAAAAATCCATTTTAAGTTTTTGTAGAAAACAATGACCAATCCTGAGGAGGAAAAAATCTTCTTGCCTTTAAATTAGCATGACATATTTATGAAATCAAGTGTCATTTTTAAATGATAACCTCACAAATTACAACAAAACTTTACCCAGACATATTTGAATCATAGCTATTGTTATACAAAATTTTTAATTTTAATGAGGGAAACATTTTAGGAGAAAGGGAAAGACACTTTTCATAAGACCTCTGAGTATATTCAAGACCGTTTGAAACTGTGGGGCAGGGTGAAGCTTATTGACTATCTCAGCAGGATCTTGTTCATGTGAGAGCAATTCATGCGCGGGTGCAACGATGGGGTAGGATGTGCAGAACTTGAGAGGAGGCAGCACATTGTAACCCATCACCTGGGGAAGTGTGATGGGATTAGCAGGATTTTTCCAGTTTGGAGACATCACTACACATAGCATGTGCCTCATCATATGAGACCACCAAATCGCTCTGTTGACATCTCATTGTTTCCATGGTATATTGAGGAGTTAAAAAATCAGGAACAAATCCCATTTCTCAACACTGCTATGAATTAAAAGAAGCCTGTATTCAAATAAATTCTAACGCAAGGTCATGGTTCATACTAAGGATCTAAGAACAAAGGGAAGCAAATTAAGGACATTTAGAATCACTGTTGAGTTTAAGGTCAATAAAGTAAAATTCATAAATGACTGAATTAGAAATCAAGATCCTTTCACCAATAATTTGTTACTCTAGCAATTTCAAGTAGTCTTACTTTGCAAAACAGGTAATAAGGAATAATGAAATACAAAATATTTCACTGCATTTTTGAATTCCACAAATAAGCGTATATACTAAACTGAAACATATGGATGCTCTATCCTTTCTGTTTTCAGGGAAAGAAAAGCTTGTATTTACCTTGGCCCACCAGGGACTTACGTCATATCCACTGTTACGAATCCCACGCCGGGGTCGCTCCCGAGTCACCAGAAGATCCATCTCGGTTTCCCCTGGACTTGGGCTATTCAGAGACTGCCGGCTTCGGTAGACAGAGTTCTTCGTCTGTTGCCTGTAGAAAATTCAACTGTTATGATGCAGCAAATGCCCTGACAGATGGAATTCTCCACTGATCCAAAATACAGGCAACCAATGAAGGGTTTGGTTGGATTTGTCTCACAAATCTCAGAATTGATGGTATTTGTTCCCCAGCCATCAGGGGCCATAGAAATAATAGAATAAAGCTTTTTTTTTTTCCTCCCCCAGGTACTATAAACATTTGGCTGTATTGTAAATGCTCTATCATATGGAAACTACAATCAACTGCAACATTGCAACCTCCTCTAAAATCGTGTTGATGGCAAAGCTAGGGGCTTTCCCTTGACCTTTTAAAGCAGTTAACACTGGAAGAACAAACTTGCTTTTGTGGACTATTGACTCAGCAGCCCCCTACTCCTTTCAATTTTTCTGATTCTGCAGGCAGGGTTCTATGATGTGTTAATCAACCAGGAGGATAACGGGATGCTTAATACTGCCAGGCTGATAGAGTTTCTTTTCTACCTTCACCGCAGTGGTTTCCCTTCTGGGCTAAGGAGCTATAAACTGAAAGACAATTTGGGGCTTGTCTGTCCATTGGTTCATCCGTCTGTCCATCCATCCATCCATCCATCCATCCATCCATCCATCCAATATTCCCTGAGTGCCTACTATGTTCCAGTCACTGTGGGAGATGGTGAAGATCCACAGTGAGCAAGGCAGGGCTTACATTCTAATGAGAGAAACAGATAATCCACATGATAATTTCAGAGTGATAAGTGTTATGAAATAAAAGAAGGAGATGAGAAGTATAGAATGGTAGTTACAAAATAGACATGGGGCTGTAAAGTACAGCAGAAGGAATATAGTCAAAATGTTGTAATAACTCTGTATGGTGCCTGTTGGGTACTGGAAATAGCAAGGGGATCTCTTTGTACTGTATGTGCTCTCACCACTGTGCTGTAAACTTGAAACCAATACAAAATAATATCAATCCTGCAGAGTGACAAAGGTGGGATAAAAATCACGGACTTCCTTCTTACCCAACAATAAGTTTCCCTCTGTAAATAACTTGCATTTCAGGGCATTTCTCTTGACAGAACCCCCAAATACCACCTATTTTATGTCTCAGTTCTAAGATTCTATCCACTCATGGGTTGAAGGTGGAAAGGTTGGATTACTTATTCCCTATGGCTCTGGGGGAGACCAGAAACCTGGCAGGTATACATGCCTTTTCATGGCCACACACTGTTAGTCACAGCATGGCACTTACACCCTGTTCGTCTAGAACAGACATTAGAACTCCAAAGGCAAAAACACTGCCCTTGCATTTAGCCTAGGGAGTAAAACAGACACTATTAGACCTACTCCCTCACCATGAGGAACTCACACCTATTTGGACAGTACCTGTGTTCTCTGCTTGCCTGGTACCACATGGTGTTCTCTGCGGCATTCCCTTCCTCCAGGGGTTGACATGTGACTCAGGCTGCACAATCATAGCATCATATCCCCCTGGCCACACTGATTGGTCAGAGGGTAGGCCCATAAGTTGGTCCAATGAGACTGAGTCTCAGGGCTTTTTGAGAGCAACTAGGAAAGAAGCATTCTCTTGGCATTGGGGTTTCTAAGAAGATGGGATATAAGCCTACAGGTACTGGCAGCCAGTTTTCACTGTGAGGTAAGAGCCTACCTGAGGAGCCAGCAAAGAGTGAATGAAGAAAAAGCAGGATAAATATGGGAGACTTTGGATCCCTTGGATCTAGGCACACCTGAAGCCTTGACCTTTCAATTACGTTCAATAATAAATTCCCTTTTATTTTACCAGATTGTGCTGGATTTCCATCATTTGCAACCAAAAGAATCCTGACTAACGTAAGAGCTTAAACCTGACAATAATAAACCATGCCCTGTAGTTATCCACAATCAGAGGCTCCCTTTAGGAACGGAGCACCACTTTGTAAAACAGAACGTGTTCTGAGTGATTCACACTTTAAGAGAGACCCCAAAGAATCCTCCTCATCCTTGACCTAATTACAAACCATTTATTTTTTGAAAAAGCAGATTTCACATCTGTCCTGAGATTGCCAATTAGCCCATTTAGAAAAGATTTACTAATAAGGGTAGTGGGGGAGAAAATACTAGGATTAGTCATTGGCATTTAAGTAGGTTATTTTGGAAGTGGTAGAAATACAATAGTAAGATTTTGTAAGCCCTTCCAAGAACCATGAATGTGGGTGAGAGATTACACGCTGGAGTGCACTTCAGCCTCCTTTTCCGTTAAAGACAATGTTCCATTATGACACGCAGCTCAAAGGCTGCTCTTTAGCATGGCTCTCAGTTGAGCAGACCGTTAGTGTGTGCATGGTGTGCAAGAAGCTACTTAGAAATAATTAGGCTCTCAGGTAGAGAAATTACTTATTTTAATCAAATAGCATTCCATGAGGTGTATTAATTTCTTGTTGGTATTTTGCTGTATTCTTTAAAAGTTAATAAATTCAGAAACTTGCCAACTTGAGAAGTTTTTCCTCTCTGAAAATACTGCTGCGTAGATAATGATAAATTTTATTTGGATTTTTAGGGGCTTTTTAAACCCACTATAGTTTAAGCAAGTAGTTCCCAAACTGTGTTCTATGGAACCCTAGGGTTCCACAGAGGGGGCGTGGAACCATCTGGTCCTCCATCTGAGAAGGAGAGGGAGGAGGCCCTGCTTCCATCAGCGGAACTCTGTCTTTGTAATTTATTGCCTTAGTTTGGGTTCTCTTGGAAGCAGGCTTTGTAATGACTTAAGTGCAAGTGATTTATTTGGAAGAGGGTTCCAGGAAGCACAGGCTGGGAAGTGGGAAAATGAGTTGGGAATGGAAGGAGGCCAATAAAGGGTATGACATAGAGTGGATTAGAGTTTTGGGGCAACTGGGCCTCAAAATCATTGGAACAGTGAGGGGGGAAGTTCTTTTAAAGTATAGGTATTTGTTTTATTCAGTCTGTAGAGAGAATGTCTGCCAAGGCCATGGGGTGGGTCGGCGCCCTGGCATGCTACGAGCTGAGGGGCTGTCGCCACGGAGAATGCGGGTTTAAAAGAGATGGTCTCAGATCACGAAAACGCTTCTGAAGAAGTGCTTCAGGGTGAGGAGGAAAAGAAGATAGATGGGCATGTGTAGCTTTGCTAAAACCTCTATTCCTTTGCCCAGTGGGTGAGGTCACTCTCTGCTTGGCTGGCAACGAAGCTTGGAAGGATGTTAATTCAAACCACTAGGTATGGCAAGGCCAGCAGCTCAGGAGATGAGCGCTATTGAAAAGATCCCCCAAAAGAAGGGGCATGCCCCGCCATAGAGGGCCACCTGTCACAGCATCTGTCACAAGGCAGAGAGAGTGAGGGGAAGTGTGGGCAAGAGCCTTTATTGTGGTTTTGTGGGACAGGACAGACAAAGCAGGGCCACAGACTTAGGACTGGGTCCCTGGAATAATTTCAGCAGACTCTGGGGCATGCGGGTTGCCCCTAGCTGTCTGGTACTTGGCTGAGGCATCAGCGCAGGGAGATGGGCCCAGAGTGGAAGAGCCCATGCGCAAAGGGGCCTCTGGCTCTTTGGTTTGCATATGAAAGGTATACGTGCAGGAGAGCCCCTTACCTTCCCGGGAACAGACAGCCCTGGTAGGGGCAGTTTCCCCAGGGTCAGCGAGGCCCCAAATGTCAACCCATCAGATCCCGAAGTTAGAAAACGTGATCATTACAACAATGTAGCTTATACCTCAGAGTTCTCCTGTCCCTTCTGTCATTGAAGGAGGCTGCCCCGGGGCACATTAACTACCTGACACTTCTGGTTGGGGCTGCCCAAAACAGCCCTCAGGTCAGAGTCATAGATGCTGGCAGCACGGAGGATGCATGGACTGCACGGCAAGGTGGGAGCGAGGGGACCCGTGGCGGGGGCGGGGGGAGGGTTGGCCTCTCACACTGTCCGCCTCAGTTACACTACATACTTTGTGTCTCTGGGTTAGAGCTGATAACACAAAAATGGGGCCTTCTTCTGGCTGTAAAGAAAAACCTATGAAATGCTTTTAAAAGACTTCAGGGTGAGTCAACCTTTGGAATGTCACCTTCATCTTTTATTTGATTTATTTTGATCTCAGGGTAAGATTCTGGTTACTGACGCTGCCTCTGGACTGCAGGACGACCCCCGCCCCCCCGACCCCCTGCCTCGTGGAGGCTTGGTCACTGGGAGCAGAAGTCCTGCAGAGCTGAACTGCAGAGAGCAATTAACAGGTAACTCTAACCTGTGACAACAGACAACACACAGTAAGCAGCCTCTGGAATCCACAGCGAAGTGTGACAAGAGTAACACCTCAGAGCTCACTGAGTCTCTGTCGCTCTCTTTTTCTCTGATAAGCTTTCTCTCCCCATCCCATCGCTTGCTAATTTCATCTTTATTCCTACTCTCACCTCATCTGATTTATAGTCATAAAAAATTTTAACATTATTTTTGGTGCTTTAGAGTCTTTTAAATCATTTCTTCAACAGGCACTTCCTGAGAACCCATTGTACATTCACAGATCAGCAGGTCATGAAAGGGCCCTAAGAATCTGGCATGAACCTCTGCTAGGCAGTGGCACTGCGTCTCTATAGCAAAAACAAAAAAAAATTCTTTTGTTCATCCTCTTTATAAAAATTCTCAACTGGACCAGAATCCAAACACAACACTAAAGAAAGCCACCACCATATAAGAGAAGAGAGCAAGAGACTAAGACAGGAACAGAGAACTACAAACACAATCAGAAACAAGTAATAAAACGGCAGTAAGTACATATGAATCAAGAATGAAATGTAGGTGGATTAAGTGCTCCAATAAAAAGACAAATGGATGAAGAAGATGTGGTATATGTATACAAGGGAATATAACTTGGTCCTAAAAAGAACAAAATCTTACAATTTGAAAAACCATGCATCCTAGAGGTTATTATGCCAAGTAAAATAAGTCAGACAAAGAAAGAAAAATACCACGTGATTTCATTTACATGTGGAATCTAAAAAACAAAAGAAACAAACAAAAATAGAAACAGACTAAGATAAAAAGAACGGCCTAACGGTTGCCAGAGGGGTAGGGGTTGGAGGACTCGGTAAAAAAGGTGAGGGGACTAAGAAGTATAAATTGGTAGTTACGAAACTGTCACGGGGATATAAAGCACAGCATAGGGAATACAGTCAATCATATTGTAATAACTGTGTCTGGTGCCAGATGAGTAGTAGACTTATTGGGAGGATCACTTTCTAAGTTAGACAAGCGAATGTGTAACCGTTATGCTGTACACCTGAAACTAATGTAATACTGAATGTCAGTCATAACTGCATTAAAAAAAATTTTAAAGCCTCAACTGAAATTTTTATTTATTTCTCAAATAGATTCTAAGCTAAGTTCTTATGTGCACATGATCTTTGGTTTATTTCCTGAGTGTTACCTGGAAGCCCAGAAGGAACAACTCCCCACCTGCTGAAGGAAAAGTCTCAAAGTGCAAAGTCAAAGCTGAAGAAGTCCCTGGCCTCCCCATCAAATCCATATCTTTTCTTCTCTTTTTTCTACGGTTATCAACACGCTGACACAAGCATTGTGAACCCTGTCACAGTGTGATTTTACATCAATAGCCTAATTAAAAACAGGGTAAATGAAGCACAGTTTAGAAATCTCTCATTTCCTTGTTAAAAATAAATTATGTTGATTCCATTCATAACATTTAGCCTCATCTCCCAGCTGGATTTTGTGGCTTCCGTCCAAGCCTGCTACATGGTCATTTTTGCTTTGAATAAATACCCACTCCGGCAGGGAACTGTCCTGTCCCACCCAGTCTGTGGAGAGAGTGTCTGCCAAGGCCATGGGGTGGGTCGGCGCCCTGGCATGCTATGAGCTGAGGGGCTGTCGCCAGGAGAATGTGGGTTTAAAAGAGATGGTCTCAGATCACAAAAACGCTTCTGAAGAAGTGCTTCAGGGTGAGGAGGAAAAGAAGATAGATGGGCATGTGTAGCTTTGCTAAAACCTCTATTCCTTTGCCCAGTGGGTGAGGTCACTCTCTGCTTGGCTGGCAACAAAGCTTGGAAGGATGTTAATTCCAATCACTAGGCCTAACCTTTGCTCGGGAGGACAACACTTACAGAGCATTATAGCACCTCACATTTCAAACACCCATCACACTCGTGAGTAGTAAACTTTGGAGGTGGTTCTCTTTCTCTCCCAATTCAGACCTTAAATTCTGTAAGAGCAGCAATCGATCTGTCTTGTCTGCCATAAGATGCTGAATGAGTTGAATGAATGAGTAAATAAATGAATGAGGAAAAACAACATGACCGTGACAGTATTTAGCATCTTGCATGGTGGCTAATACATAGCAGGTGACAATAAATGTTGAATACACGGACAAATCTATGATTAAAGAGATGAACCCGGCATGGAGCTCTGAGTAGCTATATGGTGAATAGTGCTGCAGTTGAATGAAAAGCTGAGGAATGAAATTTACTTTTCTTATGCAGGAGCCACTAAAACAATTGAAAAATGCCATGCCCTTTGGTCTGGAAGTTGCATAACCAGGTGGTTGATAATTAAATCTTCACTTGGCTCTGAAACAGCCACAGTTGGAAAATATCATTAAGCTAAGGGACAATTATGGTTGTTTGCCCAAGTATTTTTTTAATGGCTTCAATTTTATTCTCTTCCAGACTCATTATGGAGCACGTGCTCGCACAGAACAGCGTGGTTTGGCTCAGCAGCCTTCAAAGATGACAGTCCTACGGTAACAGATAAAGGGACCAGGACTATATCACCCCAGGTACCCTCTACCCTTCATCCCACCAACAGCACAGCGACCTTCAGAGAATTCCCTTAGAGCCCGCACCTGCTCTTAGACTCAGCGAATGGCGCACACAGTTCCGGGTCTGGATCCAACACGTGCTCGATTTCCTTTTGGGCTTTTTCATACATCTTTTTTCTTTCCGTCTGAGCCTTGTTTGTCTCTACTGCCGGAAAATCGTAATATCCCTTCCTCTTGGCTTTGAGGCGCAGCTTGTTCCGATAGTGCTCGATGTCTGATTTCTGCTTCAGGGCTTTGTTCACCTGGGGAGAGAGACAGTCTCAGGCCCACACCTGTCCCTGGCAGCCGACAGGCGGGGGGCTTCCGTCAGAGGGTCACAGCTCCAGGGAAGGCTTCATGTCTGGGCTCTGAGGAGCCAGACCCAACTGGGACCCATGCCAAGCCCAGCCCACAACAGTGGTCCACAAATGTGGAATCTGGCACTCACCTACGTCACCTGGGACCTTCCATCAAGGCTTCCTTCTCCCTAATCTACCTGAGTCTGTTCAGACCTAGGCCTGAGTTCATGCTTCTAGCTTTGTGGTGTGGGCCTCAATCCCGCCTAAACACTTTTGGTCTTCCTGTATGAGAGCCTCTGACTTGGCAGCCCAGCCAGATCTTGGTGCCCGAGTCTCGCTTCAGCCCTGAGGAACCCGGTGGTTTCCCTTGGCCATTTAGTTGGTGCCTAGCCGGATTAGACAGTTAGTTCCTGGAGGTGTGGGACTGAGATGACTAGGGTAGGAACGGGGAGCAGACACCCTGTTCCCAAGGTCTTTCCACTCTGGAGGGAGCCTGTTTTGGTCAATCCGTATTTTTCTTGAGAGACAGGGAACGATGAACCCTTGTATGGCCACTAATGCCAACCAGTTCCTGCTCTGAAGGGCAAAGCCAATCTGGTCTTCATTAGAAAGGAACATGGCCAACACCTTCTGACCTGTCAAAGATACAAGCAGATGACTATGCTAAATAAATAACAAATGATGAGGATGTTATACCCTTGAATGGAACTGAATGATGAAATCTGCCTGACACTTACTGGAAGATATGGGGAACCATTAGTGCTGTTTGTAATCAGACTTGACTAAATTAATATAATCATATATAGAGTTGGTATTATGTTTTCTTTAAAATAATCTTTAAAAGAATTTCCTGTAATTCATAAAAGGAAAATGCATCCAGTGGTAAGATATATATCATCCTACACAATATCAGGACCATGGTTTACTATCTTAGATATTTTAGTTTTACAACATTTGAAGAAACAATAACTAGAGGACATGTTTTCTCTAACTTTTGCAAAGCTCTCCCCATTCTGGGCCCTAATGATAATGTTAGGCTGGCAGAACTTCACAAGTCTTCATTGTTTCTTCATTCTGCTTGCGACTGAGCCCACTAGTAGAGGAAGTTAGTGTCGCGTCCCCTGAGCCAGGAATCCCATTTCTGGAATCTCAGCTAAAGCAACATTCCATGAGAGAGGTTCAAAGTCAGAGATGAAAGTTAGCATCACCAGATTTAGACATATCAGTATCAGGAACTTCCTGATAAGATGTCCACAAAGGGTCACATCACTCCTGAGGTTACAACAACAAAAAAATATGTATAACCTCAATCTAATCATAATAAAACACCAGACAAACCCAAACCGAGAGACATTCTACCTGATAACTGAAGCCAATAGTCTTCAAAACAGTAAAGGGCACAACGTTTAAGAATGTTCGCCAAGAATGACTGAGGAACTATCCCAGACTAGAGGAGATGATGGAGACAATTAAATACCACATGGGATCCTTGACTGGATCCCAAAATGGAAAAAGGACATTAGTGGGAAAACCAGGGAAATTCAAATGAGGTCCATAGACTGGTCAGTAGTACTCTACCAATGTTAATCTCCTGGGTTTGATCGATAATCTATGGCTGTATAAGATGTTAACATTAGGGTAGGTAGGTAAAGAGTATATAGGAACTCTACTATTACTGAAACTCTCTTGTAAGTCTAAAACTATTTCAAAATAAAAAGTTTTTCAAAGTCATGCATGAAATTATTCACTTAAGTGTTATTTATAATAACCAAAAATGTAACCGAAAAATACCTGGAAGGTTTGAACAACGAGAGATGAGTTTTCAAATTGATGGCATACCTTCTCAGCTGAGTCATTAACAATGATCATCAACAAGACAATAGCGACACAGCAAATGCTTACCGTGCAAGACAGAAAACTGTCGTGATATGATTAAGACTCTAAAATATAAATGAATTTGATCATAAGCTTGAGGAGAAGGGGCATAAATGAAAACAGAGAATATATTAGGGTAGTGAAATTATACCGATTTTTCTCTTATTTTCTGAGCTTTCTGTTATGCTTTCTTTAAAATAATCTTTACAAGAATTTCCTGTGATTTATAAAGGAAAAAATTATGGCTTTGTGGCTGTGTTTTCTTCACTTAGACGAGGCACCCAGAAGAGAACAAGAGAGGAAGCTATGAGACAATCTGCCCTAAAATCCACAAGGCCGCACATTGCAGAGGACAGTTCAGGGCTCCTTTCCCATCACAATGCCAGGAAGGCCCATTCCTTTAACCACCAATGTGTAACAGGTATGCACATCTAGACAGGAAGAATGCTCATCTCTTCTCCTCCTGTGTTGGGGTAATGGGCCTGACAGGAAAAGGGAGCAGAAAATTGAATTTAGTTGAGGTTTGGAATCTGTCTCTGTGACATTCATACCACTAAGCTGGGATGGAAAGATCCAGGCATGGCGGCCATCACCTGACTCCATAATTGGGCAGAGGGTCCTAATCAAGAGCAGTTACCAGAGCATTAGTGACAATCTCAGAGACTGTAATCACTGGGCTTGCATGTCTGGTGACAGAACTGTGCCTAGGGAAAGATTCAGCGGGTGTGATTGGCTTTGAGAAAACATGTAGTTTCCCAAATTATAAAGCTAAGGGGCATAAAGTACATGATCAATGGATCCTTGATCATTGGCTGACTAATGATGATGATGAGGAGGAGGAGGAGGAGGAGGATGTGCTTTTTGAATGCTAGGCACTATTATAAGTTTTACACTATTATAAGTGTTGTGATTCTTACAAGAGCCCCATTTTACAGATGGAGATACTGAAGCACAGAGAAAAGAACTAACCTGCCTAAGTCCACACGGAAAATAAGGAGAAGAGCTAGGATTCTGACACTTGTAGTGTGGCTTGAGAGTCCAAACTTGTTTAAGTACAATGCTATTTTTCATTGATGGGCCACAGTAAGTCAAGGAGAGGGAAGGAGCACTGGACAGGGAGCCAGGGGACATGAACATCATGGATGTCACAATGACCTGCAGCATGATTTTAAGCTCGCTGCTTGACCCCTCTGGCTTCAGTTTACTAAAGTAAGTATGTTTATATGTGCAATGTAAATGTTCACATGCAGGTTTCACAAGCATGTTCTTAAAGGTTCATAAATACCTTTAGCCCACTGACCATTATGCTACAGAAGATGAAGAAATGGCAGATATTTACCTGACTTGCCCTCTTGCTCTCCCCTAAAGTGCCTCTATCATGCATCCATCCATCCATCTATTTATCTATCTTCTATCTATCTATCCATCCATCCATTATCCATCCATCTGTTTTTCTTTGTGAAATCATCGTTCTCCATGCATAATTTTTAGACTCTTTGGAAAATTGATTACCATATGATATCCAGAGATATCCTTCTGAAAGTAGGCAAAGGGTTGTTTGAAGCTTGCTCAAAGGAGTAAAAGTCATTTCAAAGCCTGTATTGTGGGCTACATCCCTGTCTGACTGACAATATCTTCTCCAGTTCCCACTCACTTTAAGCCCCTCGCATCCCCACTACATTTGACCTCCCACAGTGAATGATTTAGGAATGTTACCAAGAAAGATAGAAGACTCTATGTGTTTAAGGGGTGGGGAAGAATTTCTGATGTTTCTCTTCATAACTACAGTTTTTAAAAAGCTCCCCTTCTCTGGGCTTTCCAATGAAGGTAAAAAATGCTCTGAAAACATCACCCTACAAACTCATTTTTGGGTGACTTGTGTCCTCATTCATTCCGCTAAGGCCTGTGCACACAGAGGTAAAAATGACCGGTGGAGCCCTACATACCTGGATGCAACCTGCCCCATGCTCCCAGGCAGCGCTCCTGGCTGCCCTGCTCTCTCCTTCCCCAGGTCCTTGAGCACTCACCTCACCGTTGAGCACAGCCACCTCCTGGCTCCGGTCCGCAGGGGGATGCACCACAGGGAGGGCCGTGGGTTTTATTGCAATCAGCTGCACGGATCCTGAAGACGTGTCAAAAGGATCGGCAGCCGCCTTGCCAGAGTTGTCAAAAAGGACTGCTCCTTCCTCTTCATCACTCGCTGGCACTAAAGCACAAATAAACACATTGGTTTTATGGATGTAGGGGAGCCGCATGATCATGGGGGAATTTATGTGTAATGCTCACAGCCTAAGGTCATTACTTTACTCAAAATGACCTCAGAACATACAATGTCTGCTTTCATGCCAAGGGTTTGTTGCTGTTCATGTATTTCTTTTAAATTTAAGATGTACGATATTCAGGCCTCCCCTGTGTCATCAATGGGTTGGGAAGAATTTTATAGGTTTGAATTTACATGGTAAAAACCATTCCTTCAAAATTGTGACAAATGCTTTAAAAATACAGTAGTATTTTTTCCCTCCATGGCTGAGTCAGAGATGGGGAAAAAATGCAATTTGGTCAAAACTGGAACCCTTTTTAAAAATATGACAATCAAGAGAATAACAGCATTCAGTTCAGACTCTGCCACTGAAGCTACCCATTTTTGCACGATGTTAAGGTGATGAGTCTTCCCACGTCAACCAGCCACAATAATTGCAGCCGACACTTTTATTTTTTTCTGTCTAAAGGCTGCTTCTCAATGATCTGGGTTTTAGTTTTGTTCATTTGTCTAAAACAAAAGAAAGCTAAGAAATAACTACCAGAGAAACTAATTTAAAGCTACAGTCAACTCCTCTAATTAAATAGAGCAATTTTCCCCTACGCTCTTTTAAATTAATTCTCACCTCTGACAGATAATTCTACCATGACTGTTGAAAGACACCAGCCTGCCTTGAGCGTCCAGAGCTAAGCTGACAGAAGAAGTTCCAGGGCCAATGGTACCTTGCTGATTTAGTTGTTCTGAAAGCATATTCCCATTAAGTAACTATAAGAATGACAGTTTATTGAGCATGGCTTGGTGAGAGATAAATTAAGCCTATTCAAACAACTAAACCAGTAGGCAATTTAGGAGGAAAATAGGTGTCATTAAAATATGAATGTAATAGAAGTATATTTATCTTTCCTCCTGTCTGCTCAAGAGATTGGAATGTTAATTCAATTATTGAGAAACACATAGTTTGTGTCATTCTGTCACTTTTCATAATCATAGAGGATCCATCAAATTAAGCTGAGTAAATTGTTATTTCACAATGTGGCTAAAACACCTCAGAGCCTAACAGTGGCTATAACGAGTATTTTTTTGGTTCTGTGGGCTTATTTGCAAATAGCAGCCAATGACAGAAGGCAATCTCTCTTCAGACAAGTTATCGGATGCATATGTTTTTAGAGGAGAGTTTTGCTGGGCACCATTATCTCCCACCTGGACACCTGCAGCAAAAGCCACCTGTCAGAGCAGCCTGCAGGATGGTGGCCCAGTAATTCTCACCTCCTGCTAGTCACAGACACAATCAACAGGACCGACCTGTGTAACCAAAAGGAAATTGCAGAAATGACAGTGTGTTACTTCTACAGCTAGGTCATTAAAAAACATTGTAGCTCCCACCTTGCTCTCTCTTGGGTCACTTACTCAGAGAAAAGCCAGCTGCCATGTTATGAGGACACTCAACCATCCCTATGGAGGGGACCAGGTGGCAAGAAACTGAGACTCTTGCCAACAGCTATGAACGAGCCACCGTGTAAGTGGGTCTTGCACCCCAGGCCAAGCCTTTAGGTAACTACAGCCCACACTGTAACCTCATGAAATTCTGGCCCAAAACCACCCAGCTAAGCCACTCCTGAATTCCTGACTCAGAGACATTGTGCAACATAATAAATATAGACTGTCATTTTGGTTGCTAGGTGTTGGGTTAATTTGTTACATAGCAACAAGTAACTAATCCATCTCCTAAATCATCCCCCTCCTCCAAGCTTCCACTCTTGTCCTTCTACCCCTAAAATACACACTCCACCAGCAGCCAGGGTGGATTATCTTTCCAAAAGGCAACCAGATCACAGTACTCCTTTGATCTGAACCCTCTGAAAGTTTCAGGTCTCTCAGAATAAAACCCAGAGTCTTTAGTGTGGCCACCAAGGTTCTATACGATCTGGTCCTGTCCACCTTGCTGAGTTCATGTCCTGCTTTTCCCCTTGACCCCTCTGCTCCAGCTACAACAGCCCTCTTGAGCACATCATGCTTGTTCCCACCTCTGGGATTTTGATTAGCCATTCTCTCTGCTCGGAAAGCTCTTTCTCCAGGTCTTTACCTGCCTAGTTCCTTCTTATTTTTCAAGTTGCACCTTGAAAAAGACTTTCCTTATCCACCAAACTAAAATAACCTGCCTCATTACCCTGTTGTATTTTCTTCATAGCATTTGGTACTATTGATCTGTATACTGATTGAACCTGCCCCACCCCTGCCACCAGAATATAAGCTCCAGTCTTGCCCATCTTACTGATGGCAATGCCTATTGCCTTTAATAATGTCTCATAGGTAGTTGGCTTTCAGTAAAGATTTGCTGAATACACGATGACTAAAGGAATGGCTAAAATTTCCTGACTTGGAAAGGAGATATTAGTACCTGCGGAACAGGTAAGCATGTGGAACATGCTATCAACTAAATCCTTCAGGTGAAGAGACGGTACTTAACATTTTTATTGTTTCTGGGCTGTGATACCCTCACTCCCTGGCCCCTAGACAGGGTAACGGGAGGAGCATAACTCTAAGGAGACAGAAAAGAACACCCTGGAAACTGTACAAACTATAGTTGTTTTTCATTCTCATTGTAAAAATAATCATATTCAGATTTTCACAGTAATTCCTCTTGGTTAAGGAATTGGTTGAGACAAACAATTATTCTAGCCCCTCAAAAAGACTATATGGAAAAGTATATTAAAGGACATTACATTAAATATTAATACTAAAATGTTATGTGAATACAGCAGGTTCATGGGAATATTTAATGCATAATTAGTCCCTGAAGAAAAAGCAGGAGAGAAGGCTAAACAAAAGGGTCACTGTTAAACTGGGAAGTGTCCTAGATACCATCATCCTAGTAAATGTCAGCGTCCCCGACCCGGTTGTGTCTTAGTTCCATTGTTGGTTTGAAGTTCTGCAAATTAGGCTAGGAAGGGAGAGTTCATTTCTTCATGTTTAAATTGGCATGACTGGGCAGAGACCACCCATTTCAGGCAGAGAAAGCTCTTAAAAGAAGCATGCTCTTTCTTTCTGGAATTTCCATTAAGCTCAGAGACGAAGTATAACTAGCATCCCTGCCTTCTGGTGTTGTTTATTAGATAATAAGAAAGTCTTCGACTCATTGGGAAGGGAAAGAAAGAATGAAAACTAAAGCTGTGGTTTTGAGCTAAATCTCTGACACATCCCCAAGGGCCCCTGCTAAGAAGGTAGTAATTCATCCTCTGAACTCTCTGATTCTTGTCCTTCTCTGGGCCTTTGTGTCCCGTGACTCCTGGGAGGTGGCAAGGTCTGATTAGCTTCTGAGCCTCAGCAGTGAAATCTCTTAGTGACTTAAAGGAAGGGTTTATGGAAGTTTTTGCTCTTAAATGACTGAAGATCTAAATACATACATGACGTTTTCATCTGGAACTCATTTTTAACTCCTTTCCAAGGTGATACTGGTTTTAATTCAGAAGTTGAAGTGTCTGTATTTGGTTGAAAACTTCCCAAGTTCTTTTGCTTCCAAAGTCCTAGCTCTCACATCTCTCTTTCCCAGTTGTATTTAAACATCATCCAGGAATAGACTCTAAACTAGCCTTGCACCCATGGTAACTAGTAAGGCCACTGAGCTACAAGGACCCACCCCAGCCATGCTGTTAGCAGGATAGTGTTTTCCCCTTTTAAAGTTCTCACTTTTGCCCTGGCTAGTGTGGCTCAGTGGACTGAGTGCCAGCCTGCAAACCAAAGGGTCGCTGGTTCGATTCCCAGTCAGGGATCATGCCTGGGTTGCAGGCCAGATCCCTGTTAGGGGGTATGCGAGAGGCAACCACAGATTGATGTTTCCTCCCTCTCTTTCTCCCTCCTTTTCCCTCTCTAAAACAAATAAATAAAATCTTTAAAAAAATAAAGCTCTTATTTTCACAAAAGTGGAAAATCAGAAGCTACAATATAACAAAACTAGTGGGAAACAAGAACAGTTTTAGAATAACAGCCCGGTACATGAACATTCATTAATTAACCTTAGTCACGCTAACCTCTAAAATGGATGTGGAGACATAAAACAACATTCTCTGAATATTCCATACCAAGAGGATAGTCTATTCTCAGAGGCCACAGTCACAAACACCTTTCGCAAGCTGACAATATGATGCTTTTTTCTTTCCTGTACCATTCCATTCAGTGTTATTCCCTTTCTTCCTTCCTGCCTTCTTTCCTTCCTTTGGTTCATAAAGTACACTACTGATTTTTTTCTGGTGAACTCTAGCCTAGCATTACGATAAGGTGGAGCCCCCTGATAAAAAAGGACAAGGGCAGGGTCCACGGGAGGACTGAGTGGAGAGGAGGATCAGAACACAGGGGGGACTGGGAGGGCAGGGGGGCTGTGCAGGTGCCGGCCAGGTGTGAGCCGCAGATGGTGCCACAGCACAGGCAGGCAGCCCCGAGGGCGATCAACAAACCCTGACACCAAACCTGGATAAAGACGGAGAAGAGCTGTTTGAGAAACTCAACAGTTAAGTTTCCCTGGAGAATAAAGGCAGAAGCGTAAGCTGATGTTTATGATGACAGATTTATTACAGTGCTGTTTTTCCTGGAAGAGGTGGACTTGCAGTCTGGACTCACTGGCCTAGACTGAACCGCTGACACATATCAGGGAAGTCAGGGCAAGAAAAGGAGGGGAATCTCCAAGACAAGCAGCATTTCAGAGACTTGCACCCCAGAGGATCTGGTGTTAGAAATGTCGATTCACCCCAGAATTAGAAAAATCTCTAAGCAAACATCAGTTCATTCTGCATAGTTTTTTTAAGGCCCTGCCCAATTCCATAAGAACAGGAGGCAGAATAATTCAGAGAAGGGGGTAAAGTGGTACCTACCAGGTGGGTAGGAAGCTGACTTATGGCCTTGGTAGGACACAACAGAAAGAGCTGAGGGTGAAAGCACACTGGTGGGTGTGACCTTGTGCCGGCCTGTGTGCATGGGTGTGTGGGACGGGCTCAGGGGTGGTGCTTGGCAGGGAAGGCTTCTCACCATTTCTCTTCCGTGCCTCCTCCTTTGTCACTTTCTGCTGTGCCATTACATTCTGGGGCGAGCGCCTCCCCGAGCTGGGTTTCCCTGATTCGTTGCTGATGATAGAGCCATTCTCACTGGGCGACCTGCTGGAGGTAACCATAGCAACAGGGAGATGGTAAGTTCCGACTAGAGCAGCCTCCTCTCAAGGTTATTTTATTTGCACAGTTTATGTCTGTAGCCTTTCATTCCGGTTTTATCCACAGAGAAGAAATGATTCAGAAATAAAAAATCCCCCACACTAAAGCACGGGTTAAGTAGTTAGTTGTTTTGCAGTGCACCGCCAGGTGCTTGGCTCTGCAGAGAAGTTCAGTGAGTACAGCCCTCAGTTCCCATCTCTTTCATTCACCCCCAGTGACTATGGAAATGGTGGCAATGGCATTTTAAGCATGGCCTCTTATTAAAACACAGCACTTTGGAGAGTGTTGCTGAGTATTTGATTCACACAGCATCTTTAGGGACAAGTACGAATCATGGTTCTCTTAGGCTATTCTCTTTACAGAATGTACCTTGACGACTAAAGATGAAAGTCCCTCCACCGTTAAGTTCTTCCTCTCTCACAAACACACACACACATACACACACACACACGTTTTTAACTCTGGTAGCTGCTAACCACTTTCATTTGAAACTCTCAATTTGAGTGATTCATTCATGCATTCATTCTTTCAGGACATACTTTCTGTGCGCCACCTCTGTACTGGGCATTGTACAGGTGTGGAGAGGTACTAAGACACCACACATGCTCGCCAAGAGCTCCGTATCAGGAGGACTTCCAATACTAGGGGCCAAGGACAAAGCTGAATGCTTTTGAAACTGTTAACGAATCATTATGACAATCCATGGACTTGGTGATTATCACCCTTATTTAGCTGGTGAGAAATGTGAAGTTCAAGGAGGTGAAGTATCCTGTCCAGGGCAGAGTTGGGAGGTGGCACATCAGCCCTGGAAGCCAGAGCCGCCGCTGCCGGTAGAGGCTTTCCCCACATGCCAGAGCACCTTCCCTTTACTATCTCTCTTACAGTGCCCCAGCTGAAGCAGGTCTTTGGTCAGGATAGGCCACAGGGTCTTCTTGCCCTCCCTCAACAGTTGGACTCTGGCCTTCTGGAACCCGGCGGGAAAATGGGCGCCTGAGAGCCCCAGCTGAGTTCATGCTCCCTTGGGCCTGTGACCACGCCAGCCTGTGGGCAGGCTGAGCATAACGACCGACTGCCTTCCCCTCTGTGGGAGACAGTCGGGGGGCAGATATCCAGAGATCTCATCCAAGCCCTTTTCTGGCTATTGTCAATTGTCCAGATTCAGAATCTAATGGCTTCAGCCCTTACAATGGAAATTTACTAGAATGAAATGCAGCACTTGACCTAGTGGATGTTCCTCTTCCTCCTCCTCCCTCCTCTCTCATCATCCTCTGGAAATTTAGAATTCTCAGTTCTGTACACTTCCACGCACTTTAGTACCCTAAAAATCATGAACAATGGAAGTGCCCACTTATAGCCATGGGATAAGGCAGAGTCCGCAAGAGCGGAACACTGGGGCCAAGTGAGGTGTTCCTTATTTAAGTTCCGCAGACAAGCATTAAGTTGGGGAAATGCTGTTTGCTAGGTTCCTTCTTTGGATAGTCCTAATGCACATTAGCATAGCAAGGGTTCAGATCAGTCCCGTCATAAAGAGACTCATCTTGTTTTGTTTAATTCAGCATTTCCCAGTTTATTTCGCTATAGATCTCTTTCACCATAAAAACCTCTAATCTCCTATAAAACTAGGAATATAAAGATTATAATTTGGGAACATATATATTTTATTTATTCATCAGCTATTTGAGGAATATGGGGTGTACAAGTACACATACTCAGAGGGACACATGTCCTTTGATTGTTTTCAGAAGCTCACAGTTCATGGCACATGCTCTTCCAACAGGCTTTACTGGGATGAAGGGGCCTTTGGTGAGGTCCGAAGGAAAGGGAAGGGAAAGGCTTCTTGTAATCTATTTTACATTCACCGGTTACTCAATAGTTTTCACAGCATTTGCACCCCTTTTCTCTCATTTGATCCTGAAACAATCTTCCGGCTATTCCTCTTACTTCAAGGAATGGTGTGAGTGAGCAGATTTTTGGAGAGAAAAAAAAAACCCCTACCCTGCTTTACTCTTTGCATTGGCTTATAGACAGGTTCACATGGAACCATCAACTCAGAATTTCTGGTCAAAAAAGAGAGGTTTGTATGGGTACACGTGTCCACTCACACGACGATAACAAAAACGTTTTTGAAAGCAAGACCACGTCACTTGTGAGGCTGCAGTTTTGGTACACTGAACTCAACAGTCTCCACTCTGAGGATATGGGTGTACATGAAAACTGGAAGAACAATCTCACAGTGAGGATTAATCAATTGTTGAACAATGATGGCCAATTATTGTACTGAAGCGACCATTGCAAATAGCTGATTCTCCACCCTGGCTCCTTAATCCCAATCGTGGATCAACAAAGTAGCTTCCTCAGATCCTACGTAAGGAAAAGGACCCACAGTATATGTCCGGTCATCTGCAGGTGGCTGAACACTCATTTTTCTTCATTTTTAAAACAACTTTTGAATACTGAGATATCTTAATGACCACCAAATCACTGGTTTCCCCTATTATCACTTGCAGAACTTTCTGGATCATTTAACAGGCCCATTCTGAAAGGTCATGCAGTCCTGATCTCGTGGGAATGAGGAAGCTGATGTGGCAAGAGGGGAAAGTCTGAAACGCAGATGCATGAGGGGTTTGCTCTCAGGTTTGGCATCTTAAAATTTTCCCACCTGATCAGACTCCTGTGATCAGCCGCACTTGGACACAGGTGAAATTTTTCCTTTGGCAATGATACAGCCAGACCTTAACAAAACTACATCTTTATGGTAAAACCATGAAGAAAATTTAGATATCACTCAGCAGTGTAGACGTTTTATTTATCTGTATTTGTTTCATCAACTAATATTTATTAATAAAAATCTGGAGGTAATTAAATTTTGTTAGCAAGAGTAGACTTCTTGCTAATTCAAGGAGAAATGCTTGAAATAAACTCTTAAAATAAAAAAAAAAAAAGAAATGCTTGGGCTAAAAAAAATTTTTTTTAAAAGAAACCTTTATACAACTTAAAACCATTCAACTAGAATGGGTATAAAAGAATTTTTATTCTTCCTGGCAGTACTAATATCCTAATTTTAGTAATTTTATTTCTTTTCATTGTCCTCTAAATAGGTGACAAATAAGCTATTAACATGCTTTTATTGTACCTGGCAAAATCATAATGAGAATAATAATTGTAGGTAATACTATCTGGCAGTCAATTCAGATAAATCATCTACTGCAGGAAGAGATGTATGTTTCTCCATATGTTTGGATTCTGCCTTGTTAGGATCTCCCTTGTTGAATAGGCGGTTGCAGCAATGGTCCCAATTTGTCTCCACTACCCTGTAACCAAGCTTTGAGTAGTCCCCTCCTACACTAACTTTGTACTTGACCGTGTGTCTTGCTTTGGCCAATAGGACAGTAGCAAATATGCAACAGCAGAGACTTGAGAAGCGCTTGCCCTTTGGGCTTTTCTTGATGTCCTTAGAATCCTGTAACCACCTTGTGAGAAAGCCAGGGCTAGCCTGCTGGAGGACGAGAGACCATGTGCCACCCCAGACAAGGCAGCTCACCTGACTATCACCTGCCTATAGATGCATAGGCAACCCGAGCTGAGCTCGCCCAAGCCTACCTCAGACCAGAACCACCACCCAACTGAGCGCAGCCTGAACTGCTCTCCCACAAAAAAAAAATCATGAGCAAAATAAATGGTTGTTGCGTTAAGTGGCTAAGCTCTGGAGTGGTTTGTTATGGAGCAATAATAGGTAATCCTCAACCTTCTTTCCAACACAACCTTCTGAAATTCAGTCCTCTGTTTCTCTATGCCTCTTTCTGAGGTACCAAGGACTCTTGGGGAAAACACACGTAGCCCTGCCCTTGACTCCAATACAAACACTTGAGTATTTGATACAGACAATCTGTCCTTTCTCCTCAAACTCCTCCATTCTTAGATTCCACTCTTGCTTTGTTCTTCTCATGCCTTTCTTCCTGACACTTTTTGGTTTCCTTTGCTGATTCCTTTTCATCACTGGGCCCGTAATCATCAAAGGCCCCAGGGGTCACTTTTTAGACCTTTTCCCTGTCCTCACTTTGGTAGGTGATCCCGTCCAGTCTCTTGGCTTTACTTATCCAAACACTGACCACTGCTACCTTGGACCTCTCCTCTGAATTCTAGACTTGCGTGGTTAATGAAGTTCTTGACATCTCCACTTGCATGCCCAATGGGCATCTCAACCTTAACATCTAAACTCTCAATCATCCTCTACAAACTCTTCTCCTACAGTCTTCTCCAACACAGCAAATGGCAAATACACTCCTCTACAATACTTTGAAATAAGCCATCAGCAAATCTCGTCAGTTCTTCCTTCAAACCATCTCTAGAATCCAATCACGTCTCACACTACCATTCCCCAACTAGACTGCTGCAAAAGCCTCCTAATAGGTTTGCCTGCTTCTACGCTCTTTCTCTATAGTCTATTTTCCACACAGCAGCCAGAGTGAGCCTTTAAAATAGCAAGTCACATTATATCATTGTTCTTCCCCAGACCCTCCAATGACTTCTGATCTTTATTCACAACAAAATTCCAAGTCCTGGCTTTGGTCTATGAGACCTGACAGGATCAAACTTCAGGCAACTTCTCTGACCCATCTGCTACCACTTCCTCGGAGGTTCACATCAGCAACTTTGGCCTTCCTGTTCTTCTTTATGCAAATCAAAAGTACCCCGCTCTGGGATTTGCATATACTGTTCCAGCTGCTTAGACTGCTCTTCCTCTAGATAGCCTTGAGGCTTATACATCATTTCAGTCAAGTCTTTCTCAAATGTCACTATATCAGAGAGGCCCTCCCCGACGTCCTGCTAAAAATACCATCACCTTCCCCACTCCATCTCTCTGTCCCCTTACCATGCTCCGGTGTCCTTCACACTCATCACCACTCGACCTACTATATATGTTTCCGTTTGTTTTATTGTCTATCTCTCCCCTCCAGATTGTAAGCCCCATGAGAGCAGAAAATTTATTTTGTTCACTACAATATCCCCAGTGCCTGACAAACAGCAAATGGTCAATAAATATCTGTTAGGTGAAGGGAAGGAAAGAGAGAAGGAGGCGGCGGAAGGATGTAGCTTTTCCAGCCATTGCGGTCTCGAGGCAAAGGAGAAGGGGGATGGCAATGGGAATCAGTTTAGCCAGTCAACAGGGGTTCCCATAGGGGTCATTACCTCTTTATGAGGCCATTGCAAAGTCCTTATAATGATATAATGAGTCTCCTGGCCTTTAGCCTCATCTTCCACATTACCACCTAAGTCACCTTTCGAAAGTACAGGCTAGACATTACTGTCTTCTTGAAGAACTTGCAGTGGCTTCCCATTGGCCAGAGCAGAAAGGTCAAACTCCTTAGTCTGGAAGTTTAAATCCTCCACAGTTTTAATCTACCTTCTGGTTTTATCCTTCAGTGTCTCCCAGTCCCTGTGAACTCTAAACTCCAGGGACACTCACCATTAAGTGAACGTGGCTGTGTCTTCTCTCCTGGATCTTTCAGACTGGATGCCCTTCCCACCTATTGACATCCCGCCCACCCTTCAAGGTCGAGCTAAAATAAGGCTCATCCATGGTAACCGCCCCCCCTTCCCCACCCAGAGTTAAGTTCTTTTGCCTCTCTTTCCCACAGTACTTTGTTCAGACTCCACTGTGGGCACCCGCACATCATGCTTGGTATTCCAGGTATTTGTCTCGCTGTCTCTCCAGCATGAGATCCTTGGGGTCAGGAATCAACCTTAAACCTCTTTGTAGTTCTCCCAACACACATCAACGTACTGTGTTCATAGTAAAAACTCAATAAATGGTTTTGAACTAAAATCATAAAAGACTGAGAAACTGCCAATAAAATACAACTACACAGGCTAAATCAAAAGAACCACTTTTAAGATAAGTTAAAATATGTAAGTGCAACATCAGTGCCAAATTCATTATCATAAATATAAGAGCTAGACCTCCGCTCTTGTGACTGATCACAACACCTTACGAAGGATGACTCATGAGAAGCAAGAAGCAGTATTGTGATTCTCCTCGCCTCCTTGTCTCTTTTTCACATATTCAAAATGAGCAGGGAGGGGAATTTTTAAAGAGAACAGTGGAATTAACATGAGGACTTTGGCTCCCCTCACCATCGATTGTTTCTCCTGCTGACATGGGGAGGCAGAAGTGAGCCCCATGCCTACCTCTTTCTGGTTTCGGTGGACTCGGCCGTCTTGATGGTGCTTCCGTCCTGGGCGACGTCCCTTTCCTGCGAGGCAGGAGCATCTCTGACAGGCAGTGGGAGGACCACCGTCTCCTGGGTCACGGGGATGACCTCCTCGTCCGCCCCTTGCTGGCCCAGGTGCTGTTTGGCATAATCAAAGCCTTGCACGGGCTGCAAAGAGGAAACAGATTTGTAGTCGTTTTTCTGGCAAAGTGTGACTCTAACAATGGCTTTAAGAGAAGACAGACGGGAAGGTGCATGTGCCGGGACCATGCTTAGCTTTCTGATAAACAAGAGTTTTCTCATCTCCATCATACTTTGTCTCTGCAAAATCAGATACTCTGTTCATTCCACCTAGTTTCAGAATCTCTGTCGGTAAGACTTACTCAGAAAAAAGAAGTAGTGAAAATATGATGCAAAAAAATGTGTGTGAGAACAAACTTCACTCAGGGATTTTTGACCACTAATTTTAAGTCTCTGGATATGGCTAATTAGAACCGTTAATTGATACGTTACACAGGTCCTGTATCCCCTCTTACCTAGGAATGTTCTGTCATCCCTTAACTCCTGTGCAATAACGAGTGTGTGACTTTGCCACGTCACTTGAACACTGAACCTCAATTTTCTCATCTGAGAAATGAAGGTAATCCTATCTGCTTCACCTCCACCGCCCTGAGCATTAAAGGGGAATCACAGCTCTGAAAACAGGGAAAGAAACATGCCACCACATAGAGTTTATGGAATCACTATTTAATCCAGACCTCTCCCTAAGCAAGTTGGCTCTCCTATAATTCATTACTGAGAAATTACCAAGGCTTTTTACTGCGCAATGTCTGAAATCCCAAGTGAAGAGGGCAGCTGTGAGCAAAACCCAACAGACATCCATTAGTGTAGTAATAAAAAACCAAGAGGCATGTTTAACAATTCCTGGGAGTGTCTCTATTCTGCTTTATACCCCAAGGCTGCACAATGCAGATCTGAAGCAGGATAATGGGGTGGTTAGCAGCAACAGCTCAGAAAACAGACTGCCCAGGTTCAAATCCTGGCTCTGCCACATATTAGCTGTTGACTTTGGATAAGTTACTGAAATTCCCTGCACACCAATTTTCTCACTGGTAAAATGGAGATCATAATAATGTAAATAGGATACAATGTGTATGGATGTGAGAATGATATTCAACCATCTTTGAAGGGATGCTGTGTGGATTAAATAGTAAATTCAAGTCCAGCATTTAGCTAAGCCTGGCACATAGCAAGCATTCAATAGATATTAGTCAGTATTGTTTGCCTTGCTACTAAATCTTAGTCTAGGGGAAACGGGCATCAGTGGCTCTCTCTTCAAGAAAATGTGGGGATGAAACCAACCTCCATCACCTGAGTTCTGTCAGGACTTGATATAATCGCTTCTTCCTTCAGCAGCTAGTTGAGTTGAGAAATTCACCAGGAAGGCTCCAGCTAGATTTAATGGTCTAGGATTGTGGCCCAACTGGTAAAATCTTGCACAAATCTTTTTTTTTTATTTTTGCATTTTAGTTGCATTTTTACCTTTCTTGAAAATAATAAAGCATTAAATACAGAAAATGTTGCTTATTTTCTTCCATCTTCAATATAAAAGTGGCTATGCAAAAATTGACCAATTTTGATTTTATGTAAATGCATGCTGATATGACAGCTGTCACATTACAACCTAATAAAATTGTTTTGAATGAAGTTAAAGACAACTAAGCACTACTAGAGCCAGCTTACAGAAAAAAAAAAATGAACTTTTTGGCCAACCCAATATTTCCCTTAAACCATATCAGGTCATTAAAAATGCTTTATGGCTCCTAATTGCTATAGCAAGGCATTCAAGGCCCTTCACATTCTAGCTGAACCCACCTTCCGAGTCTCATCTCCTGTTGACTCCTTTTATGCAATACCCCAAGGCTCCCCATTATCCTTGTTTGATTTTGTTCCAGCTTTAGTTATTGAGCAATGGCTTGGGCCAGGGGCTGTGCTTGGTGCTGGACACACAAAGATGAGTAACTACTGGTCCCCTACCGTCATGGGCCTCACAGTTGCATCTTCACCTGATATTACTGGTGAAGTAATATCAAACACGTTACATAAACTTGTCATTTCATCCTCACTATCGTTCAAGGAGTTACATACTATTATGAAGATGAAGATGAAGAATCGGAAGTTCAGAGAGGTCAAGATGAAGAAACTGAGGTTTAGTGCGGTTCAGCAAATTCCCAGGCTCACACAGCTGATCCGTGGCGCCAGAGCCAGGATATCTAACCCCTGCTGATGACTCTTCCCACGGCCTCTCCTTTCCTTCAGCTGCCCGCTGCCTAGGTTGGGCATCATGCTTCTGTGCTGAGACTCCTGGCATGGCAGAGAGGGACTGGGAGACTCCAGTGGCAGCTAAGACTTTCCACCTACCCCCTGGCATAGGAGCCCCCCCCCACCCCTAAGTCTCTCTGCTTTTGGTTCCTCACCCTTCGCGTGGGGCGGAAGTTCCCTGCTGGATACTGCAGGGGACTGGGGTGGTGACTGGTAAGCAGAAATAAGTCTCTGCATGTGTTCAGTACTTAGACACCTCATTTTGTCCTCACAGCAACCCCATGAGGTAAGCAAGGAAAACCTCACAGACTTCATTTTACAGGTGAGGAAACAAAAGCTTAAAGGGGTTCAGTGACTTGCCCAAGATCACGCAGCTAAGTGGTGAAGGACTCAAGACTAGTCCCTTACTCTTCTGACTGACAGGGTAATTAGTGGTATTTCAACCTCCAACTTGAAAATTACCTGAGATTAATTAATTGCCCATTAGACACAACTAGTGACCCCAACCCCATTAATACATCATCATGAAGTATTTATATTACTTCAATGAGTTTTGTAAAACTATCAAAAGCAAATTATCTCTAACAATTTCAAAAGTAGACATGTCACCCAGATATATTAAGAAAGCATTGTAATAATAAAAGCCAACTTGTATATGACATTTATCATATACCAGGCACAGCTCAGAGTAATTTACGCAACTCAATCCTCACAACCACCTATCACCCCCCTTTCACAGATGGGGAAATTGAGGCACAAAGAGGTTACATACAGGTCATACAGATGGTGTGTGAGAAAGGGGAAACGGTGGGCATCTTTGGGGGTGACTGGCCTGTCCTGAGCAGATGGTCACGCCAACTACTCCAGGCCCTGCGAGGTCCACATGTATCTGGATATGGCCCTAACTAGTGTTTCCTAAGATTACCTATTCCTGGGGGCCATGTTCTCTTCAATTATAAGAAGAGAACAACAGGGAAAAGGCTGTGAATTCAATGACAAGGAGTGAAGAGAAGTGAACTAGGAAGACAGGAGGTAACTGCCTGGCTCTCCTGCATTTACCATCTTCTCCACATCCTACCTGCAGAAGCCCAGCTGACAACAATGGTGACAGGGTCTGTCCGTGGTACCTTGTCTCAGAAGAAGGGTACGGGCGTGCACGCCCTGGCCTGGGCTCCCAGGACAGCCACGCTCACCTCCTCTTAGCTTGTTAAGGCTTTTACTGAGTCTCATCCAGGATCCCCAGGAGGTCACCTGGCCCTTCAGCCTGTGTTCCTAAGACACAGCGATGTCCCAGGAGGCCAAGAGACTGTCCTCCTGGTCTATGGATTGGTGGCGAAGGCTGACTTTTTCACTCCACCTTATCCTTTGGCATTCAATGAATTCTGCTCATGCACACAGGTTGTGAGAAGTGATGCAGGTGGCTCCCCTCTTGCAAACACTGCAGTGTCACGGGCCACAACAGCAGAAGCATGCGATTCTTTTTATTTTTTAAGAAAAAAAAAAGCACTTTTTCTTTTTTTAAGAAAAAGTTCCACCCTGCTGGCTGCCTGTGGTTAAAGGGCTTTGGCAATCAAAGTGCATAGCCCAGCCTCATTGAGGGAGAATATAACCAGCATCACCACACACAAGTGAATTCAACTATCTCGTGCAACATAAAGTCTCTTGATTTCCAACACCAGCCAGGTATCTCTCAAAGCACAATGCACCGGGTGGGAACATAAAAAAGGGCTATTAGAACCCACAAACATTAATCTGTTCCAGCTTCAGATAGCTTTCAAGACAGAAGGTATGCTGAAATCAGGTGCTGGCCAACTCATCTTGGCAAATTAATAAAATTCTGGCTTAATCTATAACACAAAGATGGCATTTACGACCTCAGTGTGGCATGTTTTGCATTCCTGGACTGGGCTGCAATTAGATTCTGGTGATTACTGCTATGTCCAAAAGGCTCAGGTTGTAAATAAGCTCAGATGGAAATGAAATACCCCTACTTGGAACGGTCTCATTTTTCAGTGCTTGGGTAATTACCAACATCACGATGCGTCTGGGAAGCAGGTGGCCTTGTGTCAACAGAAATAGAAAACAACATTCTTTGGGGTTTGGCTGTTCAGTACACAGAGTGTCTCATCAGTCTGCATCTTCTCAATAGGAGAATTGATTTAATAAACAATAAAATTCATTTGTGAGACAACTGTAATAGAATTAACATGATTTATAAATTAAAAAATAATAATAAAAAAATTCATTTGATTCCTTTTGCTGAAGTGAAGGGTGATTGCCCAGAAAGAATGGGGCACGCATGACTCCCAGCAAGAATGATCTCCACGACATGCCTCTCGGTGGACATGAAATTCCTCACCGCTCCAGTCCTGCACAGATGGACAAAGCTCAGAGGTTCGGAGCTGGAAGAGGATTCTACCTGCTAAAGCTCAGGGTTCAGAGAGGTGTAGGAAGTAGAAAGAGCCCAAAGCCTCAGATATGGGCCTGAGTTACCCTCTGCTGAGAATTATGTGATTTTGGACAAGTCCCATGGTCACTCTTTCCTTTGAGTTTCTTAGCAATAAAAAAATACAAGCTTCCCTGACCATGACCTAGAAGAGCCCAACAAATTTTAAGGCATTATTTAAACATCAGGTATTACAGGTTATTATATTGTTTTTATAGAATATCATGGAGGGAGCTATGTGACTGGAAAATGAGCCTTCAGAATTTTCTCAGTCCATTCCCCCCGCAGTCACCAGAGGCGACCGGGGCAGACCAGTGGATGGGGCTCCTGGCCAGGCTTCGCTGGAGTCACTGGAGCCATTGGAGTGTGACAGTTGACTGGCCAGGGCTCTGCAGCTTGCCCATCATGGCAGTCTTTGAGGATAAGCCACTCTCCTGCCAATGGAAGAAGGAAAATTCTGACAAAGTTCTGATGGTCGAAGGTGTCCCAAAGGGCCCTGTGTTAGGAGCCAAGAGCCCTAATTCTACTCTCAGTTCTGCTACTAACAACTGCAATCTTGAAGGAGTCACTTCTTAGAAAACAGAGGGTGTCAGATTAGATTCAGGCCCCTTTTAGGTCTATCTAGATTTTCCGTGCTTCAGTTTCCTCATCTGTAAAAGAAGGGCCCTTCCTCAGAGGGTTGCTGTGAGGATTGAGTTGCTCTTTGTGAAGCACTTAGAAGCACTTACAGCAAAGAGTGAGCGTGAGATAAGCATTAGCTATCATGTCCTGATTATAAAAGTAAAGGGTGTGCAACAAAGTGACTATACTTATCAACACTGAATTGCGCACTTAAAAATGGTTAAAATGATAAATTTTGTTATGTGTATTTTACCATAATTTTTTAAACATTCAAACACATACACTAATAAATAAAGGGTCTCTTTCAAGAAAATGAGGGCTTGTTAGGATGTTCCCAAAGGTACTTGCAATGTCTCCAAAGCCCAGAGGGAAAAGGCAGGCAGAGCCCCTTGCAGGCCAGGGCCCCCGCCCCTCTCCGCCTGCATCCGCTGCGTACCTTCGCTCTCTGAGGCAGGTTCATGACGGTGTCTGGCTTGAAGTCATTCTTGTTCTTGCGGCAGAGCACGGCAGTGATGATGATGATGATGACGGTGACCACGGCAATGGGCGCCAGCACGGCGGCGATGATCCACAGGTTGTTGGGTGGGTTCTTCACCACGGCTGTGGGAAAGAGCCAGCGGGAAGCCCGTGACAAGCAGCACGGGGGAGGGGAAAGGCCGCCAGAGATAAATCCCCCCCAGTCCCAAGTCATCTGATGGTTAAGAGGGTCTGGGATCAGAAAGGCTCTTGCACTGGGCAAGTTTGACTCATGGTCTCTGAGTCTCAGTTTCCTCATCTGTAAAATGAGGCTATCACTTTGCGAGGCATCAATGAGACCAGACATATGTGGTGCTTTGGTAGGTGCTCAATAAAATGTTAGGCTTCGCTCTCACTAAGAGGAGGAAGATGGCTACCTGTCAGTTTCCCTCATTGGTGATGTCCATGGGTCAAAAGAGAAGAGAGAAGAAATCTGAGGATTAGAGAGGTGCTGGAATCAGGAGGCAAAGGCCACAGAGAGATGACTCAATATATTGTCATGATGTCACCCTCTGAGTGAACAGTGATTGTAATGTAACCAGTGGAGACCCCCTTCCCACCTCTCCCGATAGCTGGCAGGGGGAGCTTGGAGGTACCTCGGCCTAATCAAAAGGATCAGGCTGTTCTCAGGGCCATAGTAAAGAAAACAGAACTGAAGCCGATGTCAGGAGGAAGAATGAGCATTTAGAACAGCAGGTGCGCCCAGAGGGTGAGGCTGGAATTAGTTATTCTGCAAAGGGCGATAGGGGCATGGTCATGCTCTATGTCACAACTGGGGCTGCCATGACACAGGTGTCTACATTTGTCAGAGCTCATCAAATGAGATACATAAGATCTGTGCATCTCACTGGATGTAAATTTTACCTGAAAATGTCAAAAACAAATATTGAACTTGAGACAATGATATGCACGCTGAAGTGTTTAGGGTTGAAGTGGATGGATGTTTGCAACCTTGAAATGAATTTAAAAAAATAAGACAGATGAATGGATAAATGGAGGGATACATAGATGAACAGCTGTGTGATAAAAAATACAATACAATGTTCATTGTGGAATCTAGGTGGTGGGAACATGGATGTTCACTGTATAATTCTTTCAACTTTTTAATAAGTTGGGTTAGAAAAAATGTAAGAAAACGAAAGATGCCCCCGACATGAGATGGATGAGAGTCCCCTATGATCATTGGTGGGGAAGCTTGGAAAACACGTCATTTCAATCAAAAGAACTAACAGATTCTTAGAATGAAAATAAAGAAAATTGGTAACCAAAGCAACTCTCTGTAGAAAGGCATTATTAATGGAAAGAAGTGAGATCTGCAAAAAAATCTAGAGAAAGAGAACAAAGGCCAGGCAAGGACTGGTCCACGCCAGAGGGACGCGCCCTGACTCGCAAACACGGATGATCTGCATGGATGGCAGGTCTATCCTGGTGGACGAGGTGGCTGCAACGGGCTGCTGGGGTTCGGTGGCACTGCCCATTAGTACCACCCAGGTTCTCTTCTCTCCTGCTCCCGAGATGATCTCATAGACTTTAAATACCTTTAAATACCATCTGAGTTCTGAAGATGCTATTTATACTTGGATATCTCCAACCTCTATCCTGACCTCTAGATTCCTATATCCAACAGCCAGCTCAACTCTCCAGTTAGATACTTGAGAAATATCTCAATTTAATATTTCCAAAACCCGCTTGAAACACCCCCCCCGCCCCCCCCGCCACACCTGTTCTTCCTGTGATAGTCTCCACGCCAATAAATGGCAACTTCTCCCTTCCAGTTTCTCAGGCCAATAACTTTGTCATCAGTCTTGCCCTTTCTCCTTTACTCTCACCCAATCTCCATCTTCAACATATATCCAGGGTCTGTTTGCTTCTTTCCATCGCTGCTGCTTTCACAGTGGCTCAACTACCACCCTCTCTCCCCTGAATCATTACTCAGTGGCCTCCTACCTTGCACCTTGTCCCCTATGGTCTATTTGTAACACAGAGGCCGGAGTGATACTTGAAAACTCAGATCACAACACTCTTCTGCTCCCACTCCACTCCGAGTAACAGCCAGAGCATCCTTAGGATTTCTGTGAGGACCCTAAGTGATCTGCCCCTCCACCCACCCCAGCCCGGCCTTATCGCTGGGTGCTCTTCCCTTAATGCACTCTGGCCTCCTGCTGTTCCTCAGATGTGCTAGACATACTCCTGCCTCAGGGCCTTTGCCCTGGCTGATTCCTCCACCTAGAACATTCTTCACCTAGATCTCTGCATGGCTCCCCAACTCCATTTCTCAGGCCAATAACTGTCATCAGTGCTGACCCTTCTCTTTGGGGCTCTGAACAAGCGCCACCCTCTCCCTGAGGCCTTCCCTGTGCTCTACAGGGAATGACAGTCCCTGCCCCGGCACCCTCCGTCCCCCTCCGTCCCCCTCTGTCCCCCTCGTCCTACCCACTCTTTCTCTAAAGCTCTGCTTCTGAAGCTTTAATGTGCACATTGATCACCTGGAGTCTGATTTGCGTGGGTTGGGTCTCCAATTCTGCCTTTCGAACAAGCTACCGGGTGATTCCCACACAGCAGGCACCCAGGCCACAACTGGAGTGGCAACGCTCTAAGGCTCATACCACTCCCTGACATGATTCATATGTCCTCTGTCACCTCTGGCCCCTGTATCAGAATATACACTCTCAGAGGGCAGGATACGTTTGTCTCTTGCTCACTGCCATATCTGCAGGACCTGGAAGGGGCCTTGTGCACAGCAGGTGTTCAATTAAAAGCCAAATGAATATTTAAATGAACTACCATTACCCCTGTTACAATTTGGCTTCTCATACATATTTTCATACAGGATAGAGTAACAGGCAGTTAAAAGAAGTACCATCTTCTTGGTAGTTCCAATTCATACTGTGAATTAATATACTGCCAGTCTGGTCTATGGATCAATATCTTGGTAGGTCTGGTTAGCGTGAGTTGGTTCTCCTGATTCTGCTGCACTCTACGGGCTACTAGAGCAGCAAATCTGAGGACCAGACTCTGGAATATAAAAACCCCACTGGTAAGTGCTACATGGTGAGGACCTGCCTGGGGAGCTAGCCCTGTCTCTCTGACTTCAGCTCCACTCCCCCAACTTCACCTGGCACTTCACTCGCCAAAATCTGCCGCTCATCAGGCAGCGCTTAGGTCTGGAGTACTCTTGGTACAAAGAACTTCTTTACCCCAGTTTTTGTCAATTGGTGATTAATCACATTATTAACTTCTGAAAACAGCTCATTAGTGCGCTTCTGTTGACATTAAACATTTAATTGCTACTGCTTTTTGTAATTTGGTATTTATATGTGAGTTTTATGCCTTCAACATTTTTCTAAAGCTCAGACCTGCTGTGAAAAATATCAATATGCCTCTTCTTGGCTGTGATATTCTATCCTGATAAAGAAAAATGTATAGTGTATCTGAACATGATACCCTAAACATATATCTATTCTTTTCATTAGCAGGAATGAAATATTTACACGTGCCCTGCTTTTACTTAGCTTTATTGTTTTGGAGGGTATGATCCTTCTTGGTACCATCTGTAAAATCCTTTCACCTCTATTTAAATGAGGAGAGAATAGATCTATCTTATGTACATTAATAAATTCATTTAACAGTCCAAGAGATAGTAAAGTTAGGCCAACTGAAGTCATCCAAACATTATATATTCATTGGCATAATGATCTAAAACTACAAAGTCATGTACAGGGGTGAAAAGAAACAAATGTTTATTTAATTTTCAAGAATTTCAGTAGAGGAAGGACAGAAAAAGGAGACATGTTCTGGGCACCCACCGTGCATTGGGTGCTGCAATAGGACACTGGCCTGGGTGCTATTCTTATCCCCAACGTGCAGTGAGCAAACTGAGCCCCAGGGAGGTTGGGTGCTTTTACAATATATCATTTCCCTGAAATACACAGTGTAAGACAGTTCTGAGTTAACACATATGAACGGAAGTGCACTGTGTGAGCATGCATGTGTGTGTTACTTGTCAGAAAGAATGAAGTGAATGTTCTACATCACCTAAACTAAAAATAAATTCTTCTCACATGGAACAAATGTTGCAAGGAGAGAAATCCATTTACAAATGTTTCCAGCTCATTTTCTGTGGCTGTCAAAATATCAGAGTTTGTGACTGGGGCGAGCGGATGGGGAGGAGGGCCCGGCAGCGGACGAGTGCTCAGCACACGTTGCTCTCCTGCCTAAAGCAACCCGTGGCTGTCCTCCCTCTCAGAGAGCGGCCTGTGAGGTTCAGTGTGCTTGTGACCCCTCATCTGCACCATGGACCTCATGGCTGCTACCCTCTGTGACCTCCTTGCTGGTCTCTAACCCTCCTTCTCTGCCCAGAACCTGGTCCCCAGAGAGCTTCAGGTGGTCACTCAAAAGTTACTAGCTCAATGATCCCCTTTGACCACCCTTCCCAACAATTTAAAATCACAACCATCATCTCCTTGACACCTGCTAGCTCTTCCTGCTTAATCTTTCTCCAAGGCACTTATCAGCATTTCACGTATTTATTTTACCTGACCGGCCCACTCAGGAATGTAAGCTCCCCGCAGGTGGTTTTGTCTGTTTCATCCATTGCTATATCTCCAGCGCCTAGAACAGTTCCAGGCACGTAACAGGTGCTCAAAAAGTACCGTTGAAAAAATGAAAGTGCACACGTGCCCTTCACCAAAAGGTCAGTCTATTGTTTTCTGCAAATATTTTTATTTTTGAGATAAATGTCTGATGCCCATGTAAGGTAAAGCAATCCCTGCTCTGGTCTGGTTCAGCATGGGGAGAGCTTTTTTCTACTACATCAGCTAGGTAACTGCTATGAAGAACCTCTCACTCCAGATCAAGCAAAAGGAGCAGATGAAACCCTTCATAGGAGAGGCAGCCACCTCTTTAGAATTCACTGCTGCCTCATTACCTAGGGGTGACAGGGGTGAATGGCATCGCGCACTCCATTGTAGGCCACTGCACACAGGACATTGCATGCTGGCCCCAGACCTAGCAATTTATTAGACACAGGAACGGACAGAATGTTAACATGCACACCCCTCTTCAGAGACACAAGGTGTTCATTCAACACTGTGCCTCTATTCAATGTGCTAACCTCAAACACGCATTGCAGGCTTACTTCAAAACTTAGGAGAAAATGGGTTTTACAGCATCTCTGTTCCTCCTCTTCTTCATTGGACTCGGCTTCTTCCTTGTCTGATCCTGGGCATGGAGGCATTTTCCAGGGTCTGTCCTCTAACTGTACTCTCCTTCCAGAATTTTCTCCAGGATTTTAACTCTAGCCTCTATCTACAACATTTTCAAAATCTGTAGTGTTAACTCTCACCTCTCCCCTGAGATTCAGGCTTGAATTCCAACAATGTTCTTAACCTCAGTCCTCAATATCCCATTGGTACCCCCTCGATATTTTTTATTAGTGACCCCTCAATATGCAAATAGCACCCCTTAATAGCTCATCACTTTAAACTCAACATAGCCTGGATGGAAAAAGTTACTTCTCCTTTTTAAAAATGCTTCCCTTCTCCAATCCCCTTTCTATTTTCATTAATAGCACCCTATTCTGTGAATTGCATGGGTTCTTAATCTTCAAATCACCTTCCCTTCTTCATTCCCTCTCCCCTGCAGTCCTTCTACCTTATGGGTAAATGAGACATTCAGCTACCACTTACTAAGTACTTAGTAGGAGCCCCAGGATTGTGCTAAGCCCTTTACATACAATAATTATTTCAATTAGTCCTCTAAGTAGCTCTGTCAGGTCTATTTTTTAAATATTACCACTTCACAGATTAGGAAAAGGAAGGTAAGAGAGGGTCATTCCTTTGTCTCCAAGCTCCATCCACAGGTCCAAAGAGGAAGAGCAGGGGCGTGAGTCCAATCTGTCTTATTGCAAAGGGTCTGCTCTCCACTGCTCTGCTTGGGTGTCTTCCAACCACGTGCCTCCCTCAGGGCCTGGCAGAGGCACTTAGCAAAGGTCAGTGGTTTGCCTCCACAAGAACAGAGCCAGACAGTCGTTGGGGCTGGATATTCAAAGACAAATGAGATGTGGTTTCTGCTTTTAAAGAGCTCAGAGGTCGGTCATTTGCTCAATGCAGTAAGGGCAATGGAGGCTCCTGGAACTAAGAAAGATGGGTGGGGGAGCTGGTGTTCTGTTTCAGGGGTCGAGGAAGGCTTCAGAGGAAAAGGAAATGTAAGGGGTGAATACTCCTGTGTGGCTGTCAGATCAGGATCTGTGTTTTCCAAAGTGTATATAATGACTCTAATTATAGTACAGATAGTACATTAATGGCAAAGTGACTGAGGTTATTTGGAAAGTACCTGCAAAGTCCAAGAAGGCATAATGATGAAACAGAGAACAGAGAAGATATTTCTGTGAGTTATTCAAGAAGGGAACTGAGAGGACCATGCAGATTTGGAGAAGACAAAAAATTAAGGCTGCGGGATAGCAGCTGTGGAGCCAGGCGAAACACGGTCTGGATCCTGGCTCTCTGAGTTGCAACCAAGCATTTGGGTAATTCCCTGGATGACCCCTGACTCCATGCCTCTTCTAATTTGACACGATCTCTATTCCACCCACGCTCTCAGAGTTCCCACCAATCCCCTTTAACCACCACCAGCGAACCCCCCTTAGCCTCAACCACTTCCCCTGACACTCCATTCGCCTCCTGCTCCAAATAAAGCCACCTCTCACTTTTCTGCTCTTTCCCAAGCACCACTGGGCCTCAGAGAGGAGTGAAGAGGCCACAGAATGACAGGTCCAAGCAGAGGATGGACTGGAACAGGAAAAGCGATGTAGAAGAGAGAGTGAACCTACAAATCTCCGGCAAATGAACGGTGTTCTGTACAATCTCCCCCTGACAACCAAGGCCTGGCTCTCTCAAACAATATGCCTCCCTAATCCCATCAACTCTTCCTTTTGTTTCTGCACTCTAGGCAATTTGAACTCCTTGTTTTTCAAGCACATGCGCTACTCTTTGCTTCTATTCTTTTTTTCATGCCTCTCCCTCTTTCTGGAACATACACCCTTCCTCTCCCTCTGCTGAAATCTTAATATGTAATACAGCAAAGAACATACATTTGCAGCAGACACATCTGGATTCCTGTCTTGGTGATCTAGGTACTAGTTCTGCAATACTGACCAAGTTAGTTAACTCTTCTGAGCCTGTTTCCTGATATGTAATTTGGCCCTAATGGGCAGAGAAAGTGAGAACATCCATGTAAAGCAATGAGCATAGCAGCTGCCATGGCAGAGGGTACTCAAAGGGGCAGCCATTATTTTTAATATCCTCCTCTCTCTGTTGACTCTTTCCAGATGCCCCTTCAGGGCAAACTCTCCCTCTGTCAACCCCTGTATCACACTACCTCCTTGTGGCACTTTCCTGCCGTCCACTCCTCTGTATTCGTGTTAACTCCCTCTCTGTTCCCTAAAGGCGGGGACCGGGTCTTGCCCACTTCTGTATGTCTTCCAGTGCCAAGACAGCAGGTCATGTGACTCTATAAATGCTGGTTGAATCAAATTATCTTTAATTCCCCAGATAGCAAATACAATTTCAGCTATGGTGCTTTTTAAAAAAATCTTTTAAATTTTTATTCATTTTTTAGAGAGAGTGGAAGGGAGGGAGAAAGAGGGGGAGAGAAACATTGATGTGAGAGATACATTGAATGGTCGCCTCTCACACCCCCCGAAATGGGGACCTGGCCCAAAACCCAGGCATGTGCCCTGACAGGGAATCAAACCAGCGACCTTTCAGTTTCCAGACTGACACTCAATCCATTGAGCCACACCAGCCAAGGCAGCTACGGTCATTTTTCTAGCTATTCACTAGACTGTAGGAGGAGGAGTGGGTAGGATTTGGGCATAGCAGTATCATTACTGTCTTTCTAATACTCAAAACCTATTCCTTACCCCAAACCTATTGTTTCCAGCACAGCTGATTGATTTAAAAACCTTCTAGTACAGATATATGGTTAGCTCTGGGTCCATTAACAGGAGCTTAGGGTATCACTTTGATTTGCAGGAAACATTTAATGGCATTAAAAATAATGAATGGAAAGACTATCCCCTTACGGTCAGCTTGCAGAAGGACAACATGATGCAAGGTCAAGGCCATCCTTTGGGAGTCAATGGTGCTCAGGATCTTGGCAGCTGCAGTCCCCAGCAAAGGCTTCCCATTGTACAGGGTGTAGTAAGTCAGCTCCGCTGGGTCCTTGGGTCCAGGTACCCGCTGCATCTTTACCATCTTTCAGAAAAAAAAAGAGGCCAATGTTTATAGGGCATCCTGCACAGACCCTGCAATCACTTGGGCAATCAGCAGGCTCTCTCCCGATTGCTGAAGCCTTCCATGGCCAAGTGGGTCCACAGCATATATTTAAGACATCAACCTTAATGTACCTCGCTATCACCAAAACCGCAAGAAGCCCTGCTATCGCTGGAGGGGGAGACAGGAGGAGAAAATATGAACATCTGGAAAGCACAGTTTGAGACTAGAGAAGAAAACGCTGAAATGGTGATGTCTTCCAGCCTCCAGAGAACTCTGGCCTCATTTAAAAATAGGCCTCCGCATTAATTCAGGACATGTTAGGTTATTCTCAAACAAGATTTCTAATTTCAAACTCCTGCAATTGCAGGAGAGGGAAAAAAATGAACTTATATGTCTGCAATTCTAAAGATCTCTGATAAAAACAGTACCTGGAGATTCAAAGTTCTTTTTCTAAAATCACCTTTGTTGCTTTTTCTCACTGTACAAGTTATACATATTCACTGCAGAAAATTTGAAAATACAAAAAAAATCAAGAAATGAAACAAAATAAAAACAGTCTGTAATCCCTCCACCATAAGCTAATGACTATTATCATTCTGGAGTATTTGTTTCTATTCTTGTGGGTTTTTTTCCCAAATTAACCTTTTATTTATTACTTTACCAAATTATTTATAATATTCTGTATATAGTATAACATATTGCTGTTTGCACTTGTATCCTGAAATGACCTTCAATACAACAAAATCATAAATGTTAATTCCTACATTCTAACTCACACCTCATAAACTTATTTTGCCAATCTTTTACTGTTAAACTCAAATTGTTACTCATTTTTCAGTATTGTAACTGACGACTGGAAATCATCACACACACATAAAACACAAATTTTAATACCTACGTAATATTATACTGTATGCATGCCTCATACATTAACCCTTCATTTTTGGACATTTAGGTTGTTATCAAACTCTTCACTATTATAATTAACAATCGATAGACATTATAGTACACTATAGTCTTTTTCCAAAGTGTATTTTATGGATTACGAGTTTCATAGAATATTGAAAGATATTACAAAAATGTTTATAACAGCACTGTTAATAGAAAAAGAAACCAGAAAATTCAAAAGTCATGGCAACAGTAAAATGGATAAATGAGTTATTGTAGAGTTACACAATGAAATATCATAGAGTAGTATAAATGAACTTTGGCTATTTGAAAAACAAAAACCTGACATTGAGGGGGAAAAAAATCACAGAATATAAAATTCAAAATCAGGCAAAACCAAATGATGTACACTTTAGGGCTACACACACATGGATGGCAAAATATATACAGAAAAGACAGGCATGATTTAATACAAAATTCAGAATCACGCTCAACTCTAATAGAACAAAAGGAAGTATGTATAATAAAAAAAGACACATATAAAGCTTCTGAGCTAGGATAAGAATAATGTTCTTACCCTTTAGGTTGTGGGTTCTTTTTATTAGTGGTCTTTAAACTCTGTATATTTTTACATCCCTTGGTATGTACACTATATATAACAATTAAAAATAGATATTACTACAACATAATAAAAATGTTTTTTTTGATTTGACCAGACAATTCACAAAGGAAGATCTCTAAATAGCCAATGAGCATATAAAAAAATGCTCAATGGGGAAATTCAAATTTAAGCCATGAGATAGCACTATCACCCACCAGAACAGCTAAAATAACAAGAGCTGACAACACCAAGTGTTGATGAGAATGTAGAGTGACTGGAACTCCACATCTGGCTGGTGGGAGTGTAAAACGGTACACTTGGGGAAAAGACCTGGCAGTTTCTTACAGAATGGACATACACCACCACTATGAACCAGCAATTCAACTCCTATATAACTATGAGAAATGAAAGCACATGGCCATAGAAAGACTTGTAAGACAATGTTCATAGCAGCTTTGTTTATAGTAACTAAAAATTGGAGAAAGCCTAGGTATCCATCAATAGAAGAATGAGTAAACTGTAGTATGCTCATAAAGGGAAATATTATTCACTAATAACAAATAAATTGCCAGCACAGATAAATCTCAAAAACACTAGACTGCGTCAAAAAAGCTTTATACAAAAGAGAATATACTGTAGGATTCCGTTTACATAAAGGTCTAGAACAGTCCAAACTGATCTATGGTGTGGAAATGATATATGTTATCAAATATAAAGCAGTAACAGAGTACACACTGTTAATTGTAGAACCTAGATGGTGAATGTATGGGTGTTTACAGTATCATTTTTTCAATGTTTCTGTGGGTTTGAAAATGTTCACAATAAAATGTTGGAGAAACGTATATACTACTAAAAACAAGGGTCTTATTGGCATTTAAATTTAGAATCCTTATAGTATGTCAAAAGGAGATTTCTTTATTACAGGTCTTTTTAGAGTCTTCGATTTGCCAATACGCCCTGGGAATTGCTCAGAAGGCGCCAAAGGATGCCTTACCCAAACTGACCTGGCCAGAGAGCCTGTCAGCCTCGGGGCACCTTACCGACCATTTTCTGGACACTGTCTGAGAAACACTGTTCACACCCTTTCGTTTTCGTGTTTACCTCTATTTCTTCGAAATGACTATTTAGGAATAAGTTTGCGACCATCTAAAAGGTTCTTGTCTAGACTGCTCACTTGTCATCCAGAAAGCTCATACCCATTCACTCTCTGAAAGTGCCCACTTCCCTGCGTCCTCATCAGCACTAGATGGTACCATTTCACTAATCTTTCGTAGGTGAAAATGTAATCTCACGGCAGTTAAAACTTGCACTACTTTGATGACAAATGGAGTTAAACATTTAAAAATGTTTGTTCGCCATATGTATTTCTTCTTTGAACTTTCCTTTTTCAACTGCATCTACTAGAGAAATATCTTTACATTCTAGACTTCTAAATCTCCATATTCATGAATGTGGCTCATCTTTTAAAATGAACATATCCCAAAAGAAAGGCCTCTGTGTGAAAAGATGATGTAAGCTACGTGGATTGAATTTTACCTGGGAAACCTGGGTAAGTTAGTCCTGTCCCTCGTGGGAGAGGAAGTCGGGAGAGTGTTAGTACAACCAGGTAGAAGGTGAATGAGCTTTCAAATATCTAATAACTTCACTCAATTTCAATTTATTAGCAAGCCTTTCTTCCCAAGATTTCTCCAAGGGTAGTGTTACAAGCTGATCTACAGCCTCTGTAAATTCTGGATTTGCAGAAATAAATCCCTCCTTGCTTCACTCAGGTATTCCCGATGACTACCGGGGCCAAGCACACTGAGTACTCAGAAGAGAGAATATCTCACTGGGCCCTTGGCAACACAAAGAATGCTGTTAGATTTTTAGCTTTCTTACTAACACCCGGCCTGTAGGTGTTATTAGTAAGTAATTTGCCCCCCCCTTCAGCAGAGGCAAATCCCATGTCACTGTGCTCTGAGTGACTTCCTTTCCTTTGTTTGGAGAAGTGTGAATTATAGGGCTGGCATGGAACCCACAGAGGGGAAATCAACCTGGCATGCGAAATTAACCCTCACTTTACCTCAGAATGAGGCTGTCACAGGCCACAAAGATGTTTAGAACCAAAGCAACAGGCAATAGGACAAGGGACCAAAGTCACTGGCTGTGAATGCGAGACCTGGAGTTTCCCTCAGGGACACTATGCTGACTCAAGCAGGAAAGACTGTTCCAGATGATGGGTTCTTTGTACTTACAAGACTGCCTGGGGACATGATCTGCAGGCAGGTTGTGGTAATGTCTGTAATTTCCTTTAAAACAAGCTTTCTCTTAGTGTGATACTACGCATGTGTTTAGGTTAAGTTCCACCCACGCTGTGGTGAATTACCAATCAGAAGTTCACACCCCAGTGGCCGTAGGCTAGATTCCAATTAGGAAGCCCACTCTGCAGTACCCTTCCCTAATTGTCATCTTGCTCAGCAGAGCTTTGTTAATTAGCCTGACAAACGTTAGAAATAGGTTCTCTTGGTGAAATTAGGGCTATTCAAGATACGTGGATTGGCTAGAATATGCTAGAGGCAATCCCACTCCTGCCTGAACTAGATAAAGAAGAATCTAGAGGCTGACAGTCCTTAACTTGGGAATGGCTACTGTCTTCTCTTAGGTCCCCTAAGAGCAATTGAGAAGAACTGAGTGCTTATGGCTTGTTTGAGATGCAGAGAGCAGACAGGAAGGTGAGTAGGTGGCGCAGGGGTGGGGAGGGAGCTAAAAAGGGTGTGTTATTAAGCCACTTCCTACTGTGGGTAACTAAAGCTTAATCCTGTGGGAAAGCTCTGGAAATGATCTAAACCATACATTTCAGAATCGCCTAGCTAAGGGACAAGGGAGCTGCGGTATTTATGCGGTAATCAACCACTGGTTAATTCCCAGGCACTTCCAGCACCGCAGTGTGGGCAAGGTGGGTTCTAGCATCTTAAGAGCAATCCTTCCATGAACATACAGAGGTGGCTGTTGGCACTGATAGATGTGGCAAGGGGATTTGGGCAGAGCACCAGCAGCGTCTGCTACAGCTCCCTGGCCTAAGTCCCTGCGTGGTCACGTGTCCGTTATGAACTCAGAAGGCTCTTTTTGTCAAAACTGACTAAATAAGGACAACAGATCCTGCACCTGGGATCCTGACTGGTGCACCTGTAGTTCACAGCAGTGGAGGTAAGAGGGCCTGGAAGCACCAAGAGCTGGGCCTCCATCCAATGCACAGAACAGGCTGGAGAGTAGCTTGTGCCTGCCAATTTACAACTTTTTGTTGAATAAATATCTGCATGTGTGCAGAATTTGTTCCGAGACCTTCTTTCCTTATAATCCAGTAGTCAGACTGTCGGGGGAGTAGCTCTCACCCTGCTTCATGGTTTTGACGTTATGACCCCCAGCCCTGAACTGTCAGAGCCATGTTGAGTTAAGTGGCTTGGTCAGTCTGCAGTGTGGCTGCTGCTCTGCACACGGCATGATTACTTAGCCTCGGGCAGCACATTCCCCCACAGTTCCCCAGCGGCTTGGCACACACCCACCTGCACGGTGTAGCTTCCCAGGGTGGTGGCTCGTTTAAACCTCCGGCCTTGTTGCTGGGACATCATGAACAGCTGGGCCAGGCGCTGCTCCATGACCCGGGCGAAGCTCTGGTTGTGCAGACCCACCAGCGAATTGTCCACGCCCTGCAGCACTGCGGATGGAGAAGGCAGAGGGGCTGCTCAGAGGACAGACTCTCTGCTGGCTCAGAACCACAGCCACCGCCATCCCAGCACCGGCCACGGGCCCTTCCGCGTGGGAGGGCTGGCCGGCCTCACCTGGCTTTACCCTCACAGCAGCCTCTGGGGTTGGGAATCACTATCCACATGTTAAAGGAGCTGAAAATGTTAAGGGACTTGTCAAGGTCACAGTCAGTAACCCGAAAGTGAGGGTTCAAACCCAAAGCCGCGGCTCCCTCCTCCATGAGCTGTGACAGGTCCAACGCTGCTGTATTAAGTCCAAACCTTCCCATACATGTTGTTAGAGTCCATGTGGGAGTACAGCCTGGATACAGGCATGGCTAATTGGATTTTTTGCTGGTTCCCACTCAGAAGCCCTGGCTCAGGGCTACCCTTATTTTGCGTTTCCTTCTCAACAGCTTTGCTGTGGAATCTAATCTCCACCTGCAACTCAGGCCCTGACACCTCTGCACACCCTGTTCAATGACCTCATCTCTCCCTCCTCAGTGGGCCTTTTAAGAGCCATCCCAAAGCTGCACGGGGCCTCTCGGGCACTCTTCCATTTGAGAGCAGGACCGTGTGATACCAAGAGTGAGCTCTTGCCAGTTGTGAAACTTTCTGCAAACTGCTGGGCCTCTCTGAGCCCATGTCCTCTGTAAAAGGGGAGCCAGTCCGCAGCACAGCAAATATACTCCTAATGAGATTTATGGTTTGAAATGAGACAAGCTGCATAAAGGGGCTCAGCACCAACGCCTCTCTCCTTTGGCTGTCAACCCCTCCCCCCCAAATCCAGTCCTCCTCCCCAGTCCCTTGGGGAGCACACTTCATCCGAAACACACAAACACGGCCTTCAAACACAGCCATCCCTGAAATTAAAAATGCTAAAAAGAATTCTCATCTGAAAGAAACCAAAGCTTACATGGACTGGGAATGTAATACAAGATTTTTCATTTAACAGTTTGTTCTACCACCCTCCAGCTAAGGACCATTAATACCCCCCATCTCCTGGGACACGGAGATAGCTTGGGTGTGAAGAATGTGTCATTGTCATGGTCATGCTCTAGTCCGGGCAAGAATACGCAACCGATGCCCACAGGATGCAGAGAATAATGTTTAAACTGATCAGGAGGGAAACGAAACCAACAGATAAGTTTCAGAAGTTACATCTTTGATGCAATAAATGCCAAATGAACCCCAAGGAGGAAATAAAGCAGGTGTCTTTCTAGGGCCCCTGTGAGGACCTCCCAGCTCAGCTGCCAGCAGGGCTCCTGCTGACAGAGATAAAACACTACTGTGCCATTCCCACTGTGGCAGGTCCCACAGAGACCCCTAGGAACCTCTGACACAGCCTCCCTCCCGGCCCCGGACGGGAGGGCCCATGTTCTTGATAATCCAGAGGTGCCCCTCCGGTAAAATTATTCAATCAACTGCTGAAGGACTACTTCTAAGTTGGCCTCTCCTGACCAATGGACAAATTAAGAGAGGGGACACAGGACATCGAAGGCATCATCACGGATTGATTACTTTATGGGAATCCCAGTGATGGCTCAAGGGCAGACATCAAAAAGAGGGAGAGTCAAAACCCCCCAGGTGAGGGAAAAATCCTGGAAGCAGACGGCACTGACAGCGACACTGTGAATGTATTTAATGCCACGGAATTGTACGCTGAAAATGGTTGAAATGGTAGATTTCATGTTATGTGTATTTTATCAACAATTTTTAAAATTAAGAAAACACAAAGAAACCTCCAGGGAAGTGTGGGAGCCAGTGGGAACCTCCCACAGAGGCCCGTGGAATCAGCACCGGGACAGTTCCCACAGGCAGCACTGCCTTGTTTGCGCCGAGGTGTCCTCAGGAGGCAGCTGAGGAAGAGCCAGGGGCTGGAGCCAGGGACCTAGGTTTGAATCCCGATTCCCCCTTTTACTGAGTGTTCTTGGGCAAGATACTTAGTTCCGCTGGGCTCTGTTTCCATATCTGAAAACAGGGGGATCATATTCTACTTTTGATTGGGTCATTGTGAAAAACAGACACTTTATATATTTAAAAAACAAAGTGCTTCCAGCACAGTGCTCTAAGGCGCTTGACAGGGTGCCCATAACTGGTCACTTTGTTGTTATTCAAGTGTGCCCCCTCCTTTGCTGGACACATCCTTGTCAAAGGAAGAAATAACATAACATAGAACCGTTTTCCAGGACTGCGGCTCCTTGCCTTCCCCCCTGAGAAGTGCGCCAGGCCTCAGGCTCCCCGTCTCCCCACTGGCCTGGAAGCGCATAGAGAGGGGCATGCACCCACGTCTCCCCCAGAGGCACAGCAGCAGCAGAGGAGCTGGGACCCTGGCTGCCCACCCTTAGCCACCACTGACTCAGCTTTGAGGGTCTCCAAACTGCATTGAATGAAGCCTCCAGCTGCATTCAAAGGAGCTTTGTCCAGCACATTTGGTGACTGTTACATCACTGGTCTCTTACTCTGTCTTTATTTACAAGAGCACTGGGTCCCATGATCGGGCCTGGTTCAGCTTCCTGTATTCAATCTAAACTGTTTCATTTGTGGTTGAATCCCACACATTCAGAGCCTAAAGAACCTGAATGTTCAGCTCCTATCTTCTCTTGATTCTAAGGGTGAGGACGTGACACCCACAGGGTCCCAGTGACTGACTCAAGGACACACTTGGGTCCTCTTAAGTAGCAGAGCTGAGACCAGAAGGAATCCTGCGATTGCTGGGTCTGGAGTATTTTTACTCTGGTGGATGAAATGAAGACAGGTTTCAAACCCGAGCTGGGCTCTCACCTCAGTCAGGTGGCAACATTAAGTCTGTGTGTCTCTGCCCCGCCTGGTGGTGGGACCCATGGGCAGCAGCGCAGCACCTGGGCCCTCTGTAACAACGGGCTGCGGGAATCCCCACCAGCCGATGATTTTCCACCAAAGAGGGACCCGCAGGGAGGTGAGAAGTGTATAGTGTACAAAAACACATTTACTCTAAGTTCTGTGGGCATACAGGTGAAAACATGTCAGGGTATTATAACACAAACTAAACAAAGGAAAGCTCCTCCAAGTTAGCAAGGCCAGGGATGAATGAATGCCTGAGAGCAAAAGCGGGATGGCTGGCTATTCAAGGGGCTGTGGGTTTGAACAGGATTAAGGAAGCTATCTTCTTCTCTCAGCTCCCAATCCCTACCCCTCCTGTACCTAACAGCAAAAGACCGGTGGTGGCTGCCCATGCCATCCTGAGGCTGGTTTTGGTCCCCCCAACTACCAACTGATCCAACTAGCCCCGAACAGTGACGGATGCCACTGTTTTTTCTGATCACCAACAGCCACAACAGCAATAACAAATGAGGGTTACATAGGCGAGGGAACAGGGCATTAAGTCCCAGGGGGCTCCTGACAACGAGACCATGCACGGGACTTTTTATTAAGGTTATGTCACTACAGTAGAAGCAGGGCAAGACCCAGCCGCATGAAACAGGAGGTTGTCTAGGACATCCGTGTTTAAGAGTGGATGTGTTACCATTTAATGCAAACCTTAAAGTTAATAGAAGGGGGAAAACCTTTGCAATGAAATAGCAGCATTCCTGGTGGAGTAAAAAAAAAAAGATTTTATAAATGTTATATAACCCGCTGGCGTCAAAAATGTGTTGCTGGTTTAGCATCGTCTCTCTCTTAGGCATAAACTGGTGAGTTTCTTTTTTTTTTTTTCTCTCTTTTTAAAGACATTTCTTCATTTTGTTTTCTTAGCAGGTAAAAAAAGAAAAAAAAGTCTCTGCATATCCATGGCTCTGCAGGGGAGAAAGAAAAGCAATTTTCTGCAATTTAGGAGAGGTCTTGAGCAGCCTCGTCAATCAGTGTTGTGTGTTCCTTTGTCAATGTTTAGGCGGTAGCCCACCTTGCTTGGGACAGCAAGTGAGAGAGGAGGTGAAGAGGGAAGGGGAAGGTTTTAATTTTTTAAATTGATTTTGGAGAGAGGAAGGTGGGGTGGGGAGAGAGATTTGTTGTTCTGCTTATTTATGCATTCATTGGTTGCTTGTTGTATGCGCCCTGACTGGGGATCAAACTCACAAACTTGGTGTATCAGGATGACGCTCTAACCAACTGAGCGACCCGGCCAGGATGAAGATGCTTTTAGGAGGGCCTGCTTGCCCAGGCACATCTTCCATGACTTACAGGATCTTTCTCCCTCTTTGTTATGGGCTGAACTGTGTCCTTTCAAAATTCAGATGTTGAAGTCCTAAGCCCTAAGTCCCTCGGAATGTGACTGTATTTGTAGATTGGGCCTTTAAAAAGGTAATTGAGGTAAAATGAGATCATATAAGTGGGCCCTAGTCCAGTATGACTGGTGTCCTTATAAGAAGAGGAAAGTAGGACACACACACACAGGGAAAGTCATGTGAAGACACAGAGGAAAAACAGCCATCTGTAAGCCACGGAGAGCGGCCTCAGAGAAACCAGCCCTGCTGATACCTTTGTATCAGACTCCAGCCTCCAGAATTGGTGGAGCCCCCCGCCCCACCCCATCCCAGTCTGGTGCTTTCTAAGGCAGCCCTAGTCGACTAACACCCTCCCTCTCCTGTCCCTTCCTCTTACGGCTGGCCTGGTCACTTTTCCTCCAATGAACACCTGCCTTTTTTCTCTTTGTTTCCAATCCTAGCTTCTCTGGTGTGCAGAGCTACTGTCTGGCTTTTGAAAAACAAGAACTGTTTTGCTGTTTCATAAAGCTCAGTTGAGAAATGTCAAGGGAAAAAAAAGAAAATGCCACCAAAACACCCCTCTACTTCCATCCGCCCTCACTGTCAGGACACGCCTGGGCTCCACCAAGATGAGTGTGGGTGTGGGCCTCGTGCCAGGCAAGAGAGGAAAGTGCATGCCTGGCGTTCCTCCGACCTTCACTGGCATTTTGTAGGGCAGTGCAGAAAGGCCCACCATCTTCACACAGACCACCATTCACATGGACACGCCCTGGACGGCCACAGGTAAACGCTGTACCTTCTGATCGGTCCACTTTCTGCAAAGAGGAGGTCACTAGGTGGGATGTGCAGCTTGCTATTTTGAATTGGTTATCTAATACTCATCTTCAGTGTGATGCTTGTTTCCTGTTTCAGCTTACTCCACCCACTCCTGGTCCTGGGAAATAACTCCTTTACTTATAGGACAGGACCACAGAAGGGATGCCAACCCTGTCACTGAGTAACATGCAGTTTAAATGTTTTTAGGGTTTTTTTTTCTTTTGACATGCAGGGTTTTTTTTTATAAAAGATGTTATTTATTTACTTTTTAGAGAGAGGGGAAGGCAGGGAGAAAGAAAAGAAGGATCAATGTGTGAGGGATACATCAATCAGTTGCCTCTCACATGCCCCCAAACGGGGACCTGGCCCACAACCCAGGCATGTGCCCTGACTGGTAACTGAACCAGTGACCTTTAGGTTTGGAGGCCAGTGCTCAACCCACTGAGCCACACCAGTCCGGGCTGACATGCAGTTTAAAAAACAACAACAAGAAGGAAAAAAAAACCCCCAAAAACCCCAAAGCAATCTGATAGGGTGAGAGGGGAAATAAAATAAGAGATTACCTGTAATTACCCAATAGTCTCTGGTTGTCTCTGATATGTCAAGGTTGGGATATTCCAGTGCTAAAACAAGTAAGAAACACACCAAATTACTTTCATGAGTTTTATAGGTAAATATTGTTAAGGGAAGTAGACACAGGTGACAAAATATGAAGGAGCTGGATCCTGCTTTATCATTCCTGCTCTATCATTCTTAAGAACTCTATGACTTACAGGCCAAAACCACCTTGCTATTCAGAAAACTAAAATACTCAGAAAAGAGCTCACTTTCAGATGAAGAGTTTTCTCAGGTTTGTGGATTTCTGTTCTTTCAGTTTTCCATCACAACCTTCTTATGACGAAAATCTTCGTTATTAAGATCCACAGGTAGAACCTGTCTTAACTGTAGCTTTCTCTTTAAAAATATCCAACCATCACTACCATTTTTAGGAATGAGTATCTCTTGAATGGATTTTCCCAATGTCAAGGATTGAGTTTCACCGCCAAATGCTTGTACCAAACATTTTTTTAGAGGTGTAGTGACCACGAGAGTGACCACGTAAGGGACTTAGCACGGAGCCTGGCCTACACAGTGCCTGGCTCGATAAATAGGAGTTGTTGTTGTTATCAAAATATCCAGATGAGAGAAAATAAATTCTTCACATGATGCCATGTGTCATGAAGCCTTCTTTTATGGCATAATCTTTTCCATAAAATCCAGTTATCTTTCCTTACTATGTGGAAATTCACAAAAGCTTGCTATTAAACAAACATTCAAAAATTCTGAATGGCTACCCTGTGCTGAAGTACATCCGAATACATCTTCGCATTTATTTACAATATCAAAAACAACCAAAGAAGGAAATAGAAAGAATTTTACTAATATGTGTTTTAAAAAAGAACTTGCCAGTGACCTTGAGAAATGTACCAACAACTATATTTAAGAGCATAAATCTTTCCTTCCTTTGGCTACCAAGTGTTTGGGGACAAAGGGTAGGCTGCCTTGTCTTCAAAGCCTGCGCCTGCTGCGTGGTAATGAGGATCATGTCACTGAAGCATTAGAGAAAGACAAGGCCACAAGACTGTGGGGACTTCATCAAGTGAAGTCACAATGCTGATCGCAAATGAGCTGCACTGATATACACACCCCGAGCAAGGGCTGAAGGCCTCGGAACGTCTGCGGGTGGCAGCAGTGGGGGACCGCAGCAAGCCACATTGCCACGAGGACCGCTGCCCTCCCAGGCAGGATTATACGCTCAGAGGCAGACAGCTTGGGTTCAAACCTTAGATTCCAGGTCTCACTAGCTGTTTGAACGTGGATGTTTTATTAAACTTAATGAACTTTAGTTTTCTCTTCTGCAAAATGGTGCGATTTGGGACCTACCTCGGAGGGGGGCTGTAAGGATTAAATGAGATCAGAGATGTGTGAAGAATAAAGGCACTCAGCAAGTGCTTTTTCACAATGTGCAGTAAACTTGTCATCAATTCAACCCCGTGAATCATTTATTCCAGGTGCTGTTTTATGACCAAAGAGCAAGTACGCAGCCTGGCACAGTGGATATTTGTAAAACGGAGAAAGGCCCTGGGGGAAATGGCAGAGTCCCAGTGTGACGGGGACATACTCACGTTCAGCGATGGTGAGCGGCGGGTAGGTGAGGTAGAACCCCACCAGCTCAGCTGAGAGCTGGCGGAGGAGGCTGCTGGCCACGGTGCCATTGAGGAAAGAGCTCCGATTGCCCACCACGTACACCAGTGTGACAGTCTGGGAAGCGTTGGATGTGCTCACAATCTGAATCGACACAGGAGGAAAGGGGAGGGAGACATGCCAAGTAAGAGGAGGGTCTGTTTCATGGAGGCTGTGGGAGAAGAAGTTTAAGCAGAAGTTGAGGGTAGAAATGAAAGGGAGGTGGGGTAAGAGCGAGGGAGAGACAAGAATAACAACAGTCGTCACTCACTCATGGCTCGTTCCGTGCCAGGCATTGTGCTCAGGGCACGTCATCTCATTTAATCCTCACCACAGCCCTAGGAGGTGTATCTAATTATGACTGTCTTTTACAAGGGAGGACACTGAGGCCCAGCATGACCAGGGGCTTGCCCAACATCACGCAGCTAAAAAGGGACAGAGCCAGGATTCAAACCCAGGTAGTCTGCATCTTTTCCAGGGCTCAATTGTCTCATTACTTTTATGGTTCTGCCAATACAAAGTAGAGCTTAGGAATGTTAAATTTAAGGGGCGCTCAAGAGCTCACACAGAGAAAGCCTGAGTCAAACTTTTGGGGAACTTTAAAAGTTGAAAGGACAGAGAATGTACACCAACCTAGTAACACAGTGACTGAACCTCATTACAGAGAAATTCAGAAATATAAAATAGCTTCTTTAGAGAGCGATTATATTTCCTATGGCCGATGAATACAATCTAGAGCATGTAAATATGAATATGAGATGGTGTGGTTTGCTTCTTGCATTTTGTCTAACTCAGTGTTTCTGTTACTAGAAAATGAGGTTTTCTGGGTCATCGTAAGGACAAAAAGACCCTGAGGATGAAATGTGGAAACCAGATGCAGCAGGAAGTTATCCCACTTGGTGGGACAACCTTTGTCTGCTCCTCCCTCCTCCAGATCCACTTGCCACCCCCTCCCGTCCTGCTCAGCACCCCTGTGGACAATGGAGGATGTGGGGAGAGAGAGGGTGACGTCAGAGTACTGGTGCTGGGGACTCCCTCCCCGTGGGGCCAAAGCTCCTGCTGGGCAGCTGTGGCTTCCGGTATCTGTTCCCTTCCCTCGCCCTTCAGCCCCAGCTGTTCCAGCTTTGGGTACTGCACTGTCCCTGCGGTTCCCCTAGCACCTGCCCAGGCTTCTGCAAAGGGCCCCTTTCATTGGACTTCCTGAAAATATCTTCATTTGAATGTGTCCTCTCTTCCTAACAGGAGCTGACTGGTATCCGTCTTCCCTAGACCTTTGTGTGCTCAGACATAAACATGTCTGCAACTCTCCTTTTAAACCTTACTTTGAGGAAGACTGTCAAGGGTAGCTTCATGTTATTTCCCACTTTTTTCCGTGAGTGGAAGTTCCTTTTAAATTCTCTGTCCCTGAGTATATATCATATAGTCCAATGGTCCCCAGGCTTTTCGGCACCAGGGGCTGGTTTTGTGGAGGACAATTTTTCCACAGACCAGGCTTGGGGGGCAGGGATGGTTTTGTGGTGCTTCCGGTGCACTACATTCAAGCTCACCCCTTGCTGAGCGGCCCAGTTCCTAACAGGCTCAGAGGTTACAGACCCATGATATAGCCCCATGACTAGGACATGCACTTATGCTCCTCTCTGCAAGTATTTTTGGAATGTGGTTTAGCCATAGGTATTCACACCTCTTTCTCAAGTTACCAAGAAGAAAGGCACTTCTTTCTGAACAAGTCCAAAGGCCTCATTGTACTATCATCTATAAAAGTAACAACTAAAATAACACTGCAGCCTTTATCGCCAATCTTTATCTCTATTGTGAACATTCTATTTTCCTCTTTTCAACAAAGCTAAATTTCACTGGGTCCCAAAGAGCCTGCAGTACGGGGGCCTCTGAGCACACGACACTTGACCAGATACTTACATGTTTTTGGGCTAAGAATATTTTTATTGAAGTATAACTGACATATAACATTATATCAGTCTCACACATTTTTATTGCGGTAAAGTACATAAAAGCTACCATTTTAACCATTTTAAGTGTGCAGTTCAGCGGCACTAAGTATGTCCGCACTGTTGCACGGCCATCGCCACCACCGTCTCCGGAACTTTTCCATTGCCCCAAAATGAAACTCTGTCCCCATTAAACAACTTCCCGTTTCTTCCTCCCCCCCAGCCCCTGGCAACCACCATTCTACTTTCTGTCTCCATTAATTTGATGAAACTAAATACCTTTTATAAGTGGAATCACACACCATTTTTCCTTTTGTGACTGGCTTATCTCATGTAGTAACACATCCTCAAGGTTCATCCAGGTTGTAGCATGTGTCAGAATTAAGCTCCTTGATTAGGATGAGTAGCATTTCATTGTATCTATATGCCACATTTATCCATTCATCTGTGGGCAGGCACTAGGGTTGCTTCCACTTTTTTGGCTGTTGTGAATAACACTGCTATGAACACGGGTATATAAATATCTATTCAAGTTCCTGCTTTCAGTTCTATTGGTTACATACCTGGAAATAGAATTGCTGGATTAAATGGTAACTCTATGTTTAATTTTTTGAGGAACTGCCATTTGACATGCCCACCTGCAGTGTGCGAAAGGGTTCCAATTTCTCTACATCCTTATCAACACGTTATATTCCATTTTTAAATAATCGCTTCCTAAGAGGTGTGAGGTGGTATCTTGTGGTTTTGATTTGCATTTCCCTAGTGATTAGTCATATAGAGTACCTTTCCATATGCTTATTGGTCATCTGTATATCTTCTTTAGAGAAATGTCTAATCAAGTCCTTTGCCTATTTATTAATTGGGTGTTTGTTGAGTTGTAGGAGTTCTTTATGCAGGAGTCTAGATATTAGCCACCTATTGGGTACTATATGATTTGCAAATATTTTCTCCCATTCCATGGGTTGCCTTTTGATTGTGTCTTTTGGTCCACAAAAGTTTTTAATTTTGATGAAGGCCAATTTATCTATTTTTTTCTTTTGTTATCTGTTTTGGTGTCATATCCAACAAATCATTGCCAAATCCAATGTCATGAAGCTCTTCTCTATTTTCTCCTAAGATTAATAGTTTAAGTCTTACATTTAGGCCTTTGACCCATTTTGAGTTAATTTATGTATATGACGTCAGGTAAGGGTCCAACTTCATTCTTTACCTTACAGATGTCCAATTTTCTCAATCATTGGTTCAAAAGACTGTCTTTTCTTCACTGGTCTTAGCACCCTTGTCAAAAATCATTTGACCACATATGCAAGGGTTTGTTTTTGAACTTTCTATTCTATTCCTTTGGTTTATATGTCTATGCTTATGCCAGTACCACACTGTTTTGATTATCATAGTTTTGTGGTAAGTTTTGAAATCAGAAACTGTGAGACCTCCTACTTTTTAAGGTTGTTTGGCTATTCAGGGTCCCTTGAGATTCAATGAGTCTTAGGATTTCCACAAAAAGTCACTGGGATTTTGATGGGGATTGCACTATACCTAGATTTCTCTTAGAAGTACTGACACCTTAACAATAATAAGTATTTCAATTCACAAGCACAGGATGTTTTTCCATTTATGTGTGTCTTCTTTAATATAGTTATTTTTTATAGCTAAGAAAAGTATGACCATTGTGTATGGCTGCCCAACACTAGCTTCCTGAATAAGAAGAGGTCACAAGCCTCAGACCAAGGTTGTATCACTGTTCCCTGGAAGTCATACTGTGTCCCCCACCACTTTTTTATTCTTAGACTCTTGTGGCTTCTGACTTGATTTCTTACTTCCCGCTCTCTCACGCTGCCACTCGTGAGCCTGACCCATGACACTGACCAAACGGAAAGTTGTTATTTGGCCTTCCCAGCGCCCATTTTCCCTTCTATGACAGCATCACGATTCTTCCTGGGGAAATTCCTCATTTCTCCTATCAGTTCATGTGCTTTCGGTGGCACTGCCCCACCCAAGTTCCAGAGGTGGGTATCAGCCAGGCCTAGTTGATTGGGACATTTCATCTCCTTGGTCACAGTTATTGGTCTGGTCCAGAAACGGGCACAGGATCCAAGTGGGTCCAATGACAGCTAATCCCAGGATTTTTACTGGAATGACACAAAAAGGTCCTTTGGTTCCACAAGACTGAGCAACAAGGAGGCAAACGTGGAGGTGCCAGGGGCCACCCTGCAGGGTCTGGGGATGATGGCAGCCCAGAGCAAGGCAAGCCGAGAAATGGAGAGAGAACCGCATAAAGAAATCATGTGAGCACCTGGATCCAGTTGTGCCTGACGTAAATAAACTTTGAACTTGTTAGTTACCTGAACCAATCACTTCTTCCTTTTGCTGACGCCTGTGAACTTGCATACTGTCATTTGCACCAAAAAGTCCTAAATGAGTCTACTTAATCCAGCCTGTAGCATCGATGCTATACAAGTAAAAAATAATCATTACAAGTCACTTTTTCAATGATTCTCTACACAAATTAATTAAATATTAATGCAGTCTTATTCCACAGAGGATCCAAGGTGGAATTACATATAATTCCACAAATTATATGTAATACAATAAAATGGAAAGTTATAATTACAAAACCAGATCCTGGGAAAATCACATTAAAGACAGCCCCAGGGGAAAGGCTATCATACGGTTATCCATGCATGATGGTAGAGGGGCTTACAGGGTTTCTACACTGAGGCAGTAACTTTCCTGGCTTCCCGTCGGCCAAGGCAAAAAGAGAAATGGGGTTAATAAAACAATGCACCCAATTATCCATTCATTTCAAGAGCTGTTGATATATTCAAGAGTCTCTAAAATCTATTCAGATACAATTTTTGAATTGCCTGTTGTAATCTTTTCCAAGGAAGGTTTCTTATTTGCTAAGGCCAAGGGCAGCCTTTTTTTCTTGGTGTCCCTTCCAGTGCCTGATGAATAGCAGGTGTGCAATAAGGCTATACTTCCTGAATACAGAGTATGATCTGAATACCATCAGAGTATATTCTGGCTCTAACCAGACTTGAGTACCTGTGAGAATCCAAATCCAATCAGAAATAAAGATCTCCCACAAAAGAGCTGAGTCACACTCCTTACATAAATCTTAAGCCTGTGACTTGTTTTTAGATTTCAGTCTAAAATGAACCAAATCATAATGAGATACTTCCACTTTGGATGAGTCTAGAAACGGAAAGCTTCTCATTCAAATTAAATTGTATGCTTTCTACATCGTATTGGCGTTGCTGATAATTCACCTACGCTAAATGTCAGTTTCAAAACCACTGGGTTTCATTGCGAAGGCAAACTTAGAGGTGCCTTTTAGTTCAGTGAAAACAGAGATATTGGCTAGTACAGTTAATTAGAGAAATTTGGGGGGCTAGATAAATATCATTAAGAAGCATCTGTCTTCAGTGGGGTGGTATCTATAAAACTGCAAAAAAAAAAATGGGTCTGAGGAAGGCTTTTGATGGCACGCCTACTGTGAATCCAGGAAACTGAAATAGGGTACGCCAGGAGAGGGGTTTTCCTGGGGAATAATTCATGCGTTTGCCAAAAGTTTCACCAAGGACGCCATTTCCACACTGCATCGATGCTGGTGAAGCCTGGTGGGTAAGAGTGAGCCTTGACTGAAGTCTTTATTCTATATTTTACCAACTGTGTGACCTTCTGGAAGTTTCTCACCTCTCTTCAGTTCCTTCTTTTGTGAAATGATGATAATAATACCTCAGAAATAAGGTCTTAGGTATTACATAGCAAAATATTCATAAAACGCTTAGCACGGTCCTGGCACATAGGAAGCCCTAAATATACTGTGTGTGTGTGTGTGTGTGTGTGTGTGTGTGTGTGTGTGCGTGTAAAGTAAGAGACTGTTTATGTGGATGTCTGGAAAATAACTCATGAAAATCACAGAATAGGCAAGTCTTAGTGAGTTAGCTATTTAGAAATGATTCATTTTATATAAGACATTTGGTATCTTATGTAGTATATTTATTACAATTTTTAAAAATAATGTATTGGAAAGGCCTGAGGAATCTTCATGCGGGAAAAAGAAATATAAAATCCCAAACCAAAGCAGGTAGACAGCAACACGGCATCCACACGCCAGACATCCTCACAAGCACCAGGACTGACTAGACTCAGAGGCCCCAGAGCGGCACTGTCTCCTGCCTTCAATACCTGCTCAAAGTACAAAGTAACATCGACTCCAGGAGGCTTTGAGATGGGGGACCAAGTCACATCTTGTCAACATCTGTATTATGATTGGTCTCTGTCAAACTGCACGGCTCAAGTGCCCTCCCCCTTACCTGAATTGTCATGTTGCTTTTGGTGTTCAGAACCTTCTTCTCGGCATCCTGGAAGGCCTTCTGCAGCCTCTGTTCCATTACCTGGGCGAACTTGCAGGACTGTATGTTGTCAGACTGGCTCACAAACTGAAGCACTAGAATGAGAGTGATACATCAGCCCTCGCCAACATGGTGTCTTTGTTCCTTGGACGTAACAGCAGTCATGATACAAAACCACAATTTTTACATCAGAGCAATTAGGTAAGTAAAGGGCAACAAGGTGTGGTTGTAGTTTTGGAAGCGGATCTTAAAATGATTATAACCTAGAGGAATTTAAAGAGGGATTGGGCCTGAGATTCCCTCCAATGCAAAACATTCTGTGATTTCACTTGACTGGAATATATAGACAACTGCTCCAAGACTGCTAAGAAATACCCTAAGAGAGGCCATGCCTCCCGATTCTTTGGAGGGAAAAAATAATCAATTGACCTGCATTGCTAAGTTGGTTGAGCCTTTCTATTTTCACGAGTTCTCCACGCCTGGGGTTCACAAACCACAGGACTGGAATCAGCAGGGAGCCTGAAGGAAAGATTCCAAGGCCTAAGCTCAAAGATCCTCCTTCAGTGGCATCTGGAACATGTTGCTCCAAAGTATAGATTTTATGGATACTCAACTCTAATCAGTATCCAAAATACAGAAAAAAAAAATATAGCACTTGGTGCATGTAGGTACTAAATATATACATTAGGAATAAAGGATCCTATCAAGAAATATTTTTACTAAATCCAGGGAAAATTTCGGCTGATGTGCAGGGCGCTTGGACATTTGTCCGGCAGGGCCCTTTGAGGAAGGAACACAGGGACATTAAGAGATGACAGAGCAGTTAGCAATGGAGTTTTTAAACAGGTGTCTTCTTGGTACTGTCCCCAGTCCCAGAAAGGATAGGAAGCCTTTCCTTCTGAGTTACTTGCCTGTTTTCAGCTGGAAGTGGCCTGCAGGCTGGGGATCCCAGGGGGAGGCGAGCACTGCCACAGACTGCAAGTTTGGGGTGTGCTGCTTCAGATCTGCAGTGACATTGCTGACCCCGTAAACACCCAGCATTTCGATCACTACGGAAGGCAAGTACACCAGCCTCCCTTTGGTAACATAATAACCAACTGTGACGTTATGAGAATGTTCCAGAATGTCCACCTACAAAACAAATGGATGCCCAGAACTAAGTATTTGCTTCCACAGTACTTTAAGTTATTTAGCATGGCTGGGGAATAGGATGTTCTCATTCAGCAACTATTTGAACAATGCTGTAAAGCAGATGTAGGTTGGCAAGTCTCAAAATATCAGAATACAACAAAATGTAATTTATATTGAACCTAAACGTTAATAGGATTAAATCTGTGGGTTTGCGGTTCCGTGGTTTTTGGTTTTTTTTGTTTTTGGTTCCTTAAGTGTCTCAGTAAATCCTGTGAGCACCAATTATCACCCAAGGTGGCAGAAAGGAGACGGCAGGCAAGAGAGATTTCTGGGGAATGGAACGCTGCTAATAAAAAAAATAAAATTAAAAAAAAAGCAGCTTTATTTCATTTCTCATCATTTAAAAATTAAAAGGCAGAAATGAGAGATTAAGTGGGGGTACCTTCAGGACAGGAGTCAAATAGTATCTGAGGTGAATTCCTCTGTCTAGAAGCTGAGAGAACTGTTCAACTGAACTCCATTCTTGCTCATCAGTTGGTTCAAGACCCAGGCGCCTTGGGCCACGGGGAGCTTCTCATACAGCTGGTCCTAGGGGATGCTGCTGATCTGAGCTCTTTTTGACTCAAACGGAAGACTTCAAGGCTTTAGAGTTTATTCTTATTTGTTTTTGCTTTCATTTTATATAAACAGGTCAGGGTGTTTTTAACACCCACTTTCCCTCCTTACTCTTGCATCTCCATTAATAGTATCATGTGTATTTGCCAAAGAAATCAAAACAACTGATTTTGCTACAGGCTGGGTGCGCCTTTCGTTTCTTCACACTTTGTTTCCCGAGGCGTTGTTCAAGATGGCTTAGGTGACTGATGGCGACAAAGCAGTCGCGGGGATGTAAAGCACAGCATAGGAAACAGTCAATAATATTGTAATAATTATGTAATAGCTATGCCAGGAGGGTACTTGAAATATCGAGGAGATCCCTTTGTAAGGTATATGATTGTCTAACCAGTATGCTGTACACCTGAAACTAACACAAAATAATACTGAATATAAACTTTCATTGAAAAATAAAAAAATTTGTAAAGGTGGCTTTAGGTGGAACAAGATACTTCCAGGCGGAGCATGGACACAACACTGAGTAACACCAGAGAGCAAGTTACCCCAGTTCAAGTCCTTCCAGTGACCTCAAGGAGCAAGTCTCTGCTTGGGGATTATTGACTTTCAATACCTCTCTGAGCCTTACAAATTGCATTTCTGCCAATGCTGTTTAGCTTCAATTTAACAAGCTGTTTCCATTATTCTCGTTTTTATGATTACATTTTCTTTGAGGCAAATGATCTTGATTTCCATTTATGGTGGTAATATCAAACATCCTTTCAAAAGAAATGTATTTAAGTTTTTTAAAATGAGCCAATTAAAAAAACTAATGGGAGAGGGGTTGGGGGTAGAGAGATGGAGCAAAAAGGAAAAAGCGCTCATGGACATGGACAACAGTGTGGTGACTGCTGGGGGAAGGCAGTAAAAAGCGGATAAATGGTAACGGAAAAAATACAATAGAAAAAGAAAAGAACTAATACATACTAACTGTCACCGCGGTCTGTGATGGCATGCAGGAAAGGCAAAAGCTGTGAAGGTCGTTTGTAAATGACAGAAGTTTAGTGACACCTGTATCAGGCAATCAATGGAAACATTCACATTTTCCACTTTCAGCCCTGGCTGGTGTGGCTCAGTGGATTGAGTGCCAGCCTGCAAACTGAAAGGTCACCGGTTTGATTCCCAGTCAGGGCACATGCTTTCAAATACCGTTGTAGAAATCACAGATACCTCACATAGAATGCATTTCTTTCCTTCTTTCTTTCTTTTTTAGAATTATATAAAAGAGATTGACAATGGCCAACAAATTATGTACCAAACCTTATTCTTAGTCCTTGGTGTGGTGGTGGCGGGGGGGGGGCGGGGGGGACCACCCAGCTGAACGCAACTGTAGAACAAAGCATCAAAGGAAGAGCTGAGGCGCAAAAGGTGCCCACTGACTGCCAACTGCATTTACTGCTTTAAAACATGGAATCAAACCAAAAGCACATAAAGCAAGGCTTCCATCACTGGGATATGCCTTCAAAATCATCTAGCAGTTGTTAAGCAGTACTTGGCATTGAAGTGGAGAAAAAGTGTCCCCTTCCCTGCCTGCTGCTGGCAGTTTAAGCAGAGCTGCACTCAATTTACAATTCAGAGTAACTTTTAAATGTCCAGAAATAAATCATTAATTATTTAAAATGGTGAGAAAGATAAAGAAAGAAGCTATGGATGGTTTCTAGAGAATTCCACTAATGATATTAAATACTTTTCCCAAACAATGGGCTAATGGGAAAATTTCACACAGCATATCAAGGCTTTTAAAAAAAATTCTGGACGTAAGGCAATTAGCCTCCATTTTCCATCTCAGAATTTTTCTCCAGCCACCACACATACACTATGGACCAAAATGAAAAAAGACGCTACTTCCGGCCAGTGTGGTTATGGTGCCCAGGGAGGAGGAGAACCATCTGAACATACTCTGGACAAGAGGGGGATATAGAGGGATTAGTCTGACAACAAAAGCGAGGGGCTTACGTGAGCCGAGACGTCGTTCTGGTGGAAGGCCTTCCGCAACGCCTGTGTGAGCCCTTTGGCGACATTGAGCCTCAAGGTTTCACCGATCTGCACTCTCCTTTGCGTCAGAAAGAGAACTGTGGGAGGAAAGCAAGTGCGGCAATCAGCGTAAGGCAGCAGGGGACCTAATGAAAGGGCCCGCGTCGCCTCCCCAGCCACCGCCTCTCACAAGTTCTGAGTGAAGCCAGTGAGTGTGGGTCCCGTGGGGTGGGGAGGTGGGACACTAGGGGAGGAGCTCTATTGGTCCCATTCAAGTCCCAAGGAAAGAAGGCCCTAGCCATTTGTGAGGAGAAAAAGCTCTCAGGCTGGTGGCACTTAATTTCTGACCAATGCTGCCTCTGACTTTGAAAGGTGGGATCAGCAGTACCTGCCCTGGTGGGTCTACACGCAAGCGAACGCTCTCCACAGATTTCCCAGGAGGCCGACTTAGATGCAGGCCCTGAGCTAGGTGTGATGGCTTAAAACTGCATCAGGAAGGTGTGACAGAGGTGGAGACCAGGGTGAAAACAGGCAGCTGTGACTGAATGTGACAGGGGCTATTTGAAGGGAAGCCAGCTGCAGGCCCTAGGAGGGGCATCCAGCTCTGACTTGGGCAGGGGTGTGGGGATCAAGCAAGGTTTCCAGGAGGATCTGACGCTTCTGCTGAGTCCTGAAGGATGACAGGCGCGCACTAAGGAAAGCCGGGAAGGAGCTGTCCCCACCCACTCCCAGCAGAGGGAAGACCAAGGGCAAAGGCACGGGGGAGAAAAGTGAGCCATTTCACCGAGTGTTTAGGCTTGGCCCTGAGGGTAATAGGAAATAAAGGGTTTTAAATAAAGGCATGCATTTTAGAAGGTCCTTCAACTGCAGGCTGGAGAACGCGTGTGTGGGGTGGAGGAGAGTCTGAATGCAGAGAGATGAATTTGGCTCCTGTTGCAGAAATTGAGGGGGGCGACTGTGACAATGTGAACTAAGAAAAGTGGCGGCGGTGGTGGGAAGAAGGGGTACGCTGGAGGCAGACCTAAAAGTAACTTGTGGTTGGCTGGGCGTGGCTGGGGTGATGGGGGGAGTCGGTGAAAACGAGAGGGGGAGAATGTTCCAGACTTGTGCGTCTAGGTGGCAGAGGTTGCCACTCAGAGCAGGAGGCACAGATCTGGAGCGCAAGGGGAAGGGAAAGTGGAAAACCAGATGGTATAATTTCTTGAGATATAGAAAGAAATACTGTACTTTCTGCTAGACCTAGTTTCACAATTTCCCATTTTAGAATAAGATATGTCTTGAGAGACGGTTTCATTAAATTCTTTGTGGGGCGAAGTGGAAGGCAGGGTGCGAGCATTCAACATTGGCAAGCTCTCTCAAATACTGTGTCTAATGTTTTTTTATAGCAAACTCTATCCCGCTATTAAAAGGACCCTGTGCCTCCTTGGTCTGCTGCGTTGCAACTGGGAGCTGAGGGCTGAAAAGACAGCATCCACCTCCAAACATTTGCAGGGTCTCCTTTTTTAACATCAAAAGCAATCCCGGGTGCCCACACAGAGTACCGCAGCTGTACTTTCAGTTCCTGCTGATTGAGAACATACATGACAAAAAGCCTTTCTCAATTCTGCAGCACTCCCCAAGATTGCATATTTTACTAAGACATCATTCATTTATGCAAAACATCACTGATCCACCCTACAGGCAAAACTCGGTGCACATCTGCTTTCTCAGACCCCTGGCCTGACTGATTTCTGAGGGACCTCTGACACCAGAAGTGACCCCTCGTTATCACTTAACGCTTGGCCCCACCTCTGTCACTTGATAAAGATCAAGAGTTCTCAACCCTGGCACTCCTGACATTTTGGGCTGGCCTATTCTTTGTTGTCAACCATCCCTGCAATGCAGGATGCTTAGCAGCACCCTAATCTCTATCTCGCTAGATGCCAGCAGCACCCTCTCCACCCTTCAAATTGTACAGACCGCAAAACATCTCTAGATGCGGCCAAATGTCCTGTGGATGAGGGGGAGCAAAACTGCCCCTGGTTGAGAACCGCCGATCCCAAAGAAATATAATTATTCTGTTGGCATCTCTGAAGCCGTCACGTGCTTGCTGCTTTCAAGTATAATCAATGTAGTGGAGTCTTACCTATCTTCACCAAAAGTTTACTGGACATCTGGCACTCCAGGTTGGACACTACTTTGCCAGCTGTGACCGTAGCTGTCGACACAGCGGGAAGAGCAGCGTTTGGGTTTTCTGCCAGCAGCGGCGGCAGCCGGGTCGCCCTGACTGGTGCTGTAACGGACGTCAGCGCTGCCGTGATTGTCAGCGCGCGTGTGGTGGACGCCCTGGGCAGGTCCGAGTTAGTGGGGTTCGGGAAGCTCGTGTGCATGGCTTGTGGTTTCCTGGTGTGGTGTGTGGTGGACAACAGGCCAGAGGCGGTGCCCGGGGTCCCTTGCATGGCTGTGTGAGTGTTCATGGTGTATGCGGATCTTGCAAACATGTAGGTTGGAGTGAATGAGAAAGCTGAATGGGCCGCCCCTGGTGTCGCCTTTGGGGCAGATGCTGTGTTGTTGGTGACATTTTTAGCTAGAGCAGTGGTCAAACTGCTCTTGACTAATCCTGAGACCCCGGCCGAAGGGCTGCTGCCAGTGCCCTTAGCAACCAGGGCTGCAGACAGTGCCGGCGGGCTTGATTTCCTCAGAAACAACGTGGAAGCTGCTGCTGCTGTGGGTTCTGCCTTGAAGGACACCGCAGAGTCCGCTGTAAAGAGAGAAAAAGCAGAGTTTGTCATTGGCCCAGAATGCACACATCACTTGCGGTGATGAGCGCATATAACTTATGGATTTGCCGTGGCGAAACGTCTCTGTGCTCTGAAATTTAGGCAAAGCAGCTTAGCTCATTAAGTCAATTAAGCATAATGAGAATGACAGTTATAGCAAAGCTGTGGTTGGTAATAAGGACACTTAAATGGTGAATCCTTTTTAAAAAATCAAGTCAGCAGAGGATCAAGGACATGACACTTGGGGGCTGCTAATTCATTCACCAGTGAGACAAGGTGTGCCTGCTCCTGAGCAAAGCTGGGCGTCTGCACTGAGCTTGAAGATGCTTTGGCTGCAGAAGCAGTCCTACCTGTTTTCTGGGTACCAGGAAACGAACTACCTGCATTAGTGGCTGCACCTGTCCATTTCTTGGGGCGCTGAGAAGGCAGGAGCACTTTGGATGGGGTCCTGATTGAGGCGCTGGTTGACAGAGGAGATTCAGCAGTAGAGTGATAGCTTGGGATATTCTGGAATGGTGTGGAAGCATTTATCACAGGAGATGGATAGATGCCGCTGGAAATTTGGAAACTTGTATCCATTCCATCTGAAAACATTTCCCGCAGACCAGCTGTGGAAGGCAGACTTGGAGAGGTTAGCAAGAGAGAATGTGTTGGATGGACAGGCCGCTGCAGATGGGGATGAGACTGGACATATTGACTTGTGGATGGGTAATCTTCAACCTCAGATGTTTGGAAGACTCTGGGGTGGTTGTCATTACTAACGGACAGAATGTCTGTATGGTTTCCAACCATGGTAACGTCTGATTGTTGGACTAGTTGATTGGTGCTTGTGTCAAGGACTGGATCCTGAATACTAAAGCCTTCTGCAGTTGCTGAATGCCCAGCAGTGTCTTGGAAATCCTGAGATTCTATTGTACTAACAGCTGAAGCTAAATCACTGGGAGCAGCAGAGGAAGCTGAATAAGTTTTCCAACTTGTGGAGCTCATTGTGTGCCCATTGGTATCATAATTTGTTTGCTGCTGCAAGCCAGATAACGTTGGTTCTGTGGAAAGGGATCCAGTTTCTGCTGAAAGAGAACTCCAGAAAACATCTGTGACTGCTGGCTTCTTCACACTTCCCATTGTTGAGAAATCATAGACCTCAGTGGAGGAGGGAGATGCTATCACCCGTTTGGAAGTTGAAACTGGCAGCTCAGAATGGTCCGTGGCAGCTGTGTAGGTCTCTGGATTGCTGGTGGAAGAGCTGGGAGACGGGGAAACAGTCTGGGTGGCTCGTACAGAGGAGATGGAACGTGGAGGTAATTCGGAAGGAAGGTTTGTTCTGGGTGTTGTAGTGACAGTGGGTGAACTACGATCAGCGGTAAAATCAGAGGTGAATCCATCTACTGTGTGAAGACTCCAAATCTCTTTACTTGGAAGGGCCTGGAGAGCAACTGTGAAGTTTGCCTTTTCGTTTTTCTTGAAAACAGCTGTCACGCTGTCTTCTTTCTGCAGGGGAAATGCCCGAGTCGTGGCAAGGAGATTAGGAAATTTGCTTGAGGGGAGAAAGTCCGTAGCTGCAGGAGGAGGGTGTCCATCAAGGCCCTTGGCCTGAGGAGTCAGCATTTCGGGCTTGGCGGAGGGAGAGGAATGATTCTGCGCCGGCCGTAGGAAAGTAGGCGTGGAGGGAACGTCTGCCACTGCGCCCTTTGATGGTGATGCAGGAACGGCTCTGGAAAGGTTGGCTTGTCCTTGGCTGGCTGTAGTGGGAGGCAGAGGGGAAGGCATCGAAGAGAAAGATGTGTGTTCTGCTGAAAGGGAGGGCCCTTCCGAATTCTCTGGGGCTGCTGACAAAAGCAGTGGGTTAGCAGAGTCCTTTGCAGTGGTGGGGGCCAGCTTTCTGCTGGTCATTTCCACCGCCACTGACTCAGCAGTCTGAAAAAGTGAAGGCATGGTCTCACGGGTTGCTGCTATTGCTGTGCTCGTCAAAGGCACCCCACTGTGCACTCTTTCAGCCACCTCAGCTTCAGCTGGCTGGGTGGATGCAGGGCTTGAAGCCACTTCCAACCTTGACCATGAGGGAGTTCCACCTGACAGGTGAAGACTTCCAGGTGCTAGGGGAGGGGGAGACAGATGAGCCAGCTCTGCCCTGGAGCTCAAAAACTCCGGCGTTGGGGAGCTCGCTGAGCGAGGGCTCTCCATGGAGGGCAGCTGTGAGTACTGCTTTGTCGAAGACCCAGAAAAACCTAGACGAGGGATACCTATTAAATCCTGGGCATTTTTGGATGGAGTGTGGTTCATTTCATCAGCAAATGGGTTTAGGGGATTAGGTACACTCTGAGTTGAAGAGGAGTCCATTGGAGCTCTTTGGGGGAATAAAGGCACTTTGGTGGGTTGCTCAGCTGGCTTAGAAAAGATGGTGGAATGAGGTGAGTCAGTAACCAATGAAGAGGATGGAGATGGAGGGAGAAGTGGAAGGATGTCTGACCCCAGAGTATGTCGTTTTGAGATGGAAGGAGTCCCTACCCATACGGGCTGAGATGGGAGGACAGGGCTCAAGGATGGCACTGATGGGACAGAGGACAATGCGGGGAGCATGCTAGTGTGAGGCAAACCTGACACGCTGGTTGTTTCTTTTCCCCCTTGAGATCTTGGGTGGACCAGCGACTCAGTGGAATCCTTGTAAGGCTCGAAGGAGGCGCTATAGCCGCTTCCTTGGTAAGGGGAAGAGGAGAAGTCCCCATGAGCCCTCGCTCTGCGGTGTGTCTTGGGAGGAGGTGTCCGGGTGAACTGCAGCACGCTGGTGTTGTCAGGGGACGGTCCGAGCACATTCTTGATTCTGTCCGCTGCCGAGGAAGACTGGACTTCTGAGAAAGGCCATGTTGGTGAAATCGGTAACAATTTCCCAGGAGGAAATGACTCTGGGTTTGGGGTGACGGTTATCTGTAGATCGCCTGTTCCTGTGAAACAAAACATCAAGCAGTCAGACATCAGACAGCCCTTAGGTGCCCGCAGGCGTAGGTCCTGAGGGAAGGGGCGGGCAAGAGAGGCTCAGCTCTGGCCTGTTCCACCCTGGCACCGAAGACACATTGAATACACCAGAACAATAAATTATTATAAACATGCAAATGCTGCAGCTGGCGTACAGGACAGGATTGATGACTAGTCTCTGTGATGTTTAAGTAAAGATGTGGGACATGCTTGTGTATTTTAAGTCCTTCTGCTGTGCCACCTATGAGAGTTGAACTGTGAAACTCACAATCTAGAAAGTCAAAGATGAAGGTGGCTACCTGCCATGGCCAATGACACCAAAATAAACCTCATCCAGAAACCCAAACTGCATGGGGGGGGGGGGCAGATCTTAAAGTATCTCAAGCAGAATAACTGCGGTTGCCTAAGTCTGGAAAGATGGCAGCCGGGAGACATCTATCTTGTTGGATTTAAAAGGATTCCTGATGCTATTATTCACACCATGTCAACAAGCACTGGGGATTTCTTTCAGATGAGGCTATCTCTGAGAGAAAAACTGTGCACATCAAACCTAGGACCAGACACCTCTCATAAGGCCTGGCGTCCCTACGGGCACTGGCAGCACCCATGTGTGGAACCACGGGAAGAGAGACAAGGACACAGGGCACAGAGCAGGAACCTCCAGAGGAAAGGAGGCAAGGAAGTAACTAATCAGAAAGTGGAAAATGTCACACTTGGGAGAGAAAGGGCATTCTCCATGATGACCCTCTGACCCTCTTTCCATGGTTCTGTGGTGTTGACGACCCCAGAGGGGGCTAAGTGCTATTAGATAATATTTTAAATTAACCACAAAAAAGAAAGAAAAGGCACTTCTAGAGCTTTTTACATTATTAGCTAAAAACTTTAGAATTGTCTGATGGGAATAAACAAATGAGCCAAGCATTGCAGCCAGAAGACCTGGGTTTGCATGCGCCCTCCGGCCACCTGGAGATGCTTCTCTGGTCGCTGCTGCGTGAAGTGGGGGGCAATAAGCGCGGTAGCTACCCCACCGGGCTGCTGCGAGGAGCAAAAGAAATCAGGGAGGTGGAAGGAAGGGTTCTTCAATCAGAAAAGCACTAAACAAATGCAAAAAAAAAAAAGGCCCTACACAATGAGCTGTCATTACAGGCTCTACTCTGTGTTTCTTTTCTTGATTTGTTTAACAAAAGAGGACACTGTGGCCCAGAAAGGGGACGCCATTTGCCAGAAGCCACAGAACTGATTAGGAACAGAAGCAGGGTCAGATGCAAAGTTTCCTCACTCCCAGGGCAGTCTTCTCGGTCTCTGCCGCTTCTCTCCCCCCAGTGCCTGCTCCCTGTCCCCGCACCCCAAACACTGGATTCTTCCAACAACGAAAATCACACTAAACCTGAAGTCTGAAAATATCTGAGTGTTTAGAATAGGCAATATACTCTGCAGCCACAAAAGCTAAACAGTGACGGTTTTCTGAAATATTATTTTCCGTTTCCTTTTTTAAGTCTTGGAATTAGTTATCACAAAAAATTTCCTTTTTGATTCTCTGCCTTTTTTTTTAAATCTCCCATTCTTGGGATTTACAGCTACCCAAGAAACTGGCCCTCAGTCACTTTTAGAACACAGCAGGAGGTAAGCCAATACTACTGTAAAGGCAAATCAATGGACTTGTTCATGCGGTTTGTAAGCAAGAACCAGCCCCTTGTCCTGGGCAAGGGGCCCTCAAAGCCCCTCTCAGCTCCTTTGTCTTGTAATGATTAGGAGACACTAAAGCCCTTACGAACAAGATCCAATGCTCCCTCCCGCCCCTGTTATCCAAAACCCCCTCTCACAGAAATAAAATATGCGAGATGCACATACAGCTACAGGACACCAAAGTCTAACACAGCATTTCATTAAAATATCTGTGCTCCTTGAGAACTGCCTTGGTTCACAATAAAAATTTTGTTTCTGCTTTACTACATGCAGCCAGTTTTATATGCAAGTTTTGCAATTTTACAGTTTTAAAAATTTCAGTTTTGCAATTTTGCATGGAAGGCTGATACTGCTTTCATCCCTCAATCCTTCCTATTCATGTTGCTTATCTTCTAGATAGACTCAGCTTCATTCTTCTCCTGCAGTCGTGCCTCATTCTATATATGGGCGACGCGTAAAGCCAGGGAGGAAAGCATGTCCATTGGATTAGCAAATGACACTGAAGTCAGAGAATATTAATATGAAGAACTTCAGAGAAACTTACTTCAAAGACTTATCAACGCACTGAAATTATTGTTAAAAGATATAAAGGCTTGCCCTTTGTCCAAATATCACCTAGACAGAACAGGCTTGGAATGTCCCTTGAAGAACGCCTTCGGCGGCCTGTAGGCAGTTTGGAGCTCATCATGAACTAGAATAGGAATGTAGGCTAGTAAAGAAATAACAGATTCTTAGGCCACATTCAAATGTTTTCACTTCTAAAATAAAAAAATATTTCATACTTAGAAACTAATGTCTATACTGTCTCTATGTAAGGTATAGAGACGAAATAATGAAAAACACATGCCGTCTATGGCTTATGGAACTCAGTCCTATGAGCGATGTGGACTTAAACATTCTCACAAATGTAAAAAATGGTCAGTGTTACAGCCGAAAGATGCTCCGACCTTAAAAGAATGCAATAGGAGGATGTGGCCTTATCAAGGAGGTCAGAGAGTATATAATAGAGGGAGTGACTATCAAGCAGAGATCCAAAGAATAAGCAGAAGTTAACCAAGCAAAGTGGGTAGGGAAAAACATCCCATGTAGAGAGACACACATATGCAAAGGCCCTGTGGCAGGAAGAAGCACAAACAGCACAGAGAACTGAAAGAAAGTGACCACAGCTAGACCAGGGAGAACATGAGCAGGCATGCCATGAGGTAGGTGATGGCCTGACCTTGTAGTGGCACAGATTCAAGTTTGAAGACATGGGGGATGGAGGTGAGGGTGGGTGATGCACAAGAGCAAATTTGTGTTTCAGAGCAATCCTCTGGCTATGGAGTGAAGAACAGACTGGAAAGCAGCAAGAGTGGATGACAGGGGACCAGTAAGGAAACACCTGCAGAGGTCCAGCCACGTGATGTCAGGAAAGTTATAAACAGGAGTTGAGCCATGGGTAGGAGACCAATATAGATAATAATCCTTTATGGCCCCTTTCAAATCTCAGAGCTCGGGATAATGCAGTCCTTTAAATATGTCTGTGTTTGCCTATGTCATAGTTTCGTTTTTTAATGGCTGCAAATTCTCCTAGGTGCCTCTCATTGAGAGGTGGGTTCTGCGTCCCCTTCCCCTGAAACTGGGTGAGCTGGAGACTGTTCAGCCAATTAGAGTACAGCAGAAGTAATGCCATGTGACTTGTGAGGCTACCCTCAGAAAAGGCCAGGCAGCTTTCATTTGGTCTCTTGGAATGCTCGCTCTCCATATGCTCCCTCGCTCTCCCTCCTGGAACCTGGCCTCCACTCCATGAGCAGTCCAAGCCACATGGACAGGCCATATGTAAGTCCTCCAGTCAACCGTCCCCACTGAGCCAGGCGCCCCAGTTGTCCCAGCCCGGGCACAGGCATGTGAATGAGGAAGCCTCCAGATTATTCCAGCCCCCAACCATTTGAATTTCCCTGGCTGTTCGAGTCTTCCCTGCTGAGCCCACAGGCATTATGAAGCTGAGACAAGCTCTCCCCACTGCGCTCGGTCTGAATTCCTGGAATTACAAGCATAAAAAGATGGTTGTTATTTTACAACACTAAGCTAGGGATGGTTTGTCACACAGCAATAATAACTGGAAGAGTACTCGGTTGTGTCCCTCCCATCTGGAAAGTGGGTCTGTATACATTTAATTAGATCCTCAAAAAAATGCAGAAGCCAAAACCAGTTAAGATTTTTCAATAAAAATTACTTCTGTTTTATACATGAAGTTTTAGAAATAGGGCTAAGCTAACAAGTGAACTATATCTGTATTTATTAAAGGTGCATCAGGGAAGGGATGAGAAAGGAAGAGATTTTGAGGGGGAAATAGAGGTAGATGGTATTTAATAAGAAGGGGAAAGGAAGTTGGAGAAGTAGGGCACACCAAACCTGCAAAGAGTTTAAAACACTCAAAGGAAGGCAGTGAGGTAGGAGTTTGATGTAGATGGTGTGTTGGACACACTCTTAAGGCAACCCCATGCCCCCCAGCTCTTGGTCGCCACGCCTCTGCGTGACCCCCTCCTACAGAATGAGCAGAACCTGTGGCTTGTTTCTAACCAACAGAATATGGCAAAGGTGATGGCATGTCACTCTGGTGATTACATTATCTTAAAGAAGACTCTAGCAAGCTAGCAGACTCACTCTCCTTGATGGCCTGATGAATTTAGAAGCCATACTGGGAAAGCCCATGTTACAAAAAAAAAAAAAAGTGGGTGGCCTCTAGATACTGCAGCAGTCTCTGGGAACGATGACTGGCCTTTCTGAGCAGAAGGTGGCCTCCGGCCGAGAGCCAGCAAGAAGCTAGAGCCTTCAATCTGGCAGCCACAAGGAGATAAATTCTGCCAACAACTTGAGTGAACTTGGAAATGGACTCTTCCCCAGCCAAGGCTCCAGGTGATAGCACAGCCCAGCTGACACCATGACTGACGCCTTGTGAGACCCTGTGCAGAAGACCCAGAAAAGCTGCGCCCAACCTCTGGACCTACGTTGTTTCAAGCCACAGAGTTTGCCGTCATTTGTTACACAGCATAGAAAACTAACATGGGCGGGCAGTGAGGAGCTGTGGCAGGTGCACGGTGAGGTTGGGGGTGTAGAAGGAAGGGATGAGCATGAGGCATCATGGCTGAAGAGTCGCATGAAGGATGGTGAGACCTTACAATCAAGAAGCCCAAGTGAGTACGTTTCATTCGGAACATCACAGAGAACGAGCTGTGAAATAAAAATTCTAAGCTAGTACCCAGGACACAGAGAAAGTTATCTGAAGAGAACAGAAAGGGTA